TCCGCCAAAGCTTAGAAGTGCAAAATGATGACGTAAGTAGGGGAATCCCAGTTTTGTTGTCGTCCATGAAAACACAACCGTTATTGCAGTCCAGTCGCACGCCATGAGACACGCATTGATGAGATCAGAGGTCAACGATATAAACATCTGTCACTAACCTAGTATTGGATAAGCATCAGAACAAAGTGGAATAAAGGTAAAAATTGCCAATTGTTACTTTATCTGCTCGATGCTCGCATATTTATAATTAGTTTCATCATAACTGTAAATTACTAAAAAAGAATCCTTAATCCCAACAGCTGCTGCACCGGAACTCCAAGATATCACCGAGTGTTTTACACTTCACCTGAGAGAAAAAAAACAGAAGATGATTTTTTCCGACCTGGAGACGTTAGCAGCGGCGTTGGCATCTGCAGCTATGGAGGACAGAAACCTTGACTCCATCCTCACACAGGCAATCAACTCGACATCATCATCAGGACGAGATGGAGAACTTCGTCCTCCAGCAGCTGTTGATGCTGTTGATAGACAGACACCCAGCTAGGAGATGATTCCACCTAGTGAAGGACCTAGCTCTTCTGGAGGAGGTGCAGCATGCGAATCTCCAAGAGCTGATCTTCCTGATGTAGTACCATCATCATCAACCCCTCAAGCTGCAGAACCTCCTCAGGAGATGCCCCCACCTAGTGCAGGACCCAGGACATCCACAAAAAGTACCCAAACAGCCCCAGTTTTCATACCAAGTCGTCTTCCCCCCAAAAACAAATGGTGGGAACCATCGGAGAAGACGAAGGAGGTTCTCAACTCCAAGCAATTCAAAATCGGGACATCAGTTGCTGCTGGAACACTTGGAGTCGTTGGAGCAATAGCAGCTGCTCCATTCGTAGTGGCAGGGTTGGGCTTCGCTTCTGCGGGGATAGCTGCTGGATCAGCAGCTGCCTCGATGATGAGCGCACTGGGGGGTGGGGCAACTGCTGCTGGCTCGGCTGTGGCTATTCTCCAGAGCGTTGGAGCCACTGGCACTGTGCTGGGCTCTGTCGCAGCTAGCGGTGTTGCTGCCACAGCTGGTGGTGTGGTTGGTGCAGGAGTTGGGGCAGGAGTTAGTGCAGGCGTTGGTGCAGGAGTAAGTAAAACGACTTCTGGGGGAGGGAGATTCAAATCTGTTGGGACTCAAACAATTGTTTGAGGGGATGAGAAGGTAATGATGACTTGATGATTAAGATGATGATGATGATCATAATGATGTTGATTATGATTACGATTATCATGATCATGATGATTACGATTATGATGATCATGATGATTATAATGACGATGATGATGATGATGATGATGATTATGATGATGATGATGATCATGATTACGATGAGGTGTCCGCCTAAAATTCCTTTGGCAAAAATATTTTGGAAAAAATTCCTTGGAAAAAATTCCTTCAGAACAAATTATTTTGGAAAAAAATACTTGACAAATAATTACTTTGAAAAAAAAATTGAAAAAAAACTATGGAAATATTTATTCACAGAAATTAAACAATTAAATCCTCGGCACTAGTTGGCTTAGGTGGTGTGGCACTTAGTGTGACACTGTATATTAGCAGATTGAGTGGGAGAAAATGGCGTTTATATGCAGGGATTTTCGGAGAGATTATGCTGTCCAAAACAAGTTTATCCCATGGTTCTGGGAAGGAATTATTGCATGAGGCATTTTTACAGGAGGAAATATTGCATGAAAAAATTATTTCCGAAGGAATTTTTTCCGGAGGAATTTTTTTTGAAGGAATTTTTTCCAAAGAATTTTTTTCCCAAAGAATTTTGTGCGGGAACCTTATGACGATGATGATGATGATGATGAAAAAAAAAATGTCCACCTAAAATCGCTCACCAATACCGATCGATAATAATAATAATTAGGAAAATATTTTATGAAATTTTTTCTACCAATCAGAACCCTTTCGACGATTTTTTAAGGACAATTATAACTATTAATGTATTTATGAAAACATGATGTAATATTCGATCGTAAATATATATTATAATTGAAAAATCGGGTGTTTGAAATTTTCTTCCTTTTTCTTTAATTTCCTTTTTTTGTTAGATTATCCAGGAGTTCCCATTGTTACTTATAAAGTTTCTATGAGTGCAGCTAAGAGATGATGAATGGAAATTTCTGATTGATCCAATAGTTTTTACCTGTTCCCCTCCCTCAATGATTGAGATAATGAATTACATACTGCGGAGGATCCACGTTCGTCATGCCCTTATCAATTGCAAGTTGATAGTCAAAGGTGCGTATACTATCTTGGAATCAATACGTTCTGAACATTTCGAAAAAGGTAATAAAGTTCATTGGAATAATATCAGTCGTTACACACGAAAAACCTAGCGAATACGATAGAAAATTCTATTGAATTTCTATTGTAAATGCTATCAGTTTCAGGCCGATTCTGTTGAAATGTTCAATAGAAGATATTCTGTAGAAAGAGTCAATAGAATTCAATTTTTCTATACACCTTGTTCTATTAAGATATTTTCTATAGAATTTCCTCGGCTCAAATTTTCCCAGTTTTTGGTTTGATTTTCTTGATGAAAATAAAATAAAAATGGAATGAAAAAAAAATTAGAAAATTCGAAGCCGAGGAAATTCTGTAAAAAATAGTAGTTGTAGGAGTATTTATTGCATTTTTTGAAGTTGTATGTTCATAAGTGCCGGTGTTCTGCGTAATAAACAAATATTACTAATAATATTCTATTATAATCTCACTGAAGCAGTATAAAATTTATCAAGAGACACTACTGCAATGTACGGTGTACAGTGTGCGAGTGGAATCAAAGCTTTCGATAATAGTTAACAGAGAAAAAGAAGTACTAACATTCCATATTCTACAATAAAATATATCAATAGAATAAGTTGTATAGAAAAATCGAACTCTATCCCCATATGACCTCCATGATCCTTATTCCGACCGTTAATGTGACTCTCGTGACCCTCATTCTGACCCTCGTGACCCTTATTTGGAACCTTAATCTGACCCTTATTATAACCTTCGTGGCTCTGGTGACCCTCAGTTTCTGACCCTGGGTTTTTGACCCCCATGTCCCTTATTTGAACCCTTACAAAATCAGTTTTCATAATATAAACATATCTTAAAAACTAGAATCGAAAAACTTTTATGTTCGTATCTTGTACAAAATGTTTAAACTTATGGTCCATTAGCGACTCTCTAGCTTATTTAATATTTGAGAATTCAATTTCGTAATAACATTGTTGTTCTATTCGAAATGTCGTACTTTTTGCAGTTAATATTAAAAGTCTCAACTTTTTCATGTGCTTAAAAAAAAGTAACAATGTTTTTTATTCATTTTTTAAAATTTTTTGGTTCCATATGTATACCCTCTCGGGTTTTTACATTTTGTTCCCTTCCCTATCTGCGTTACCATGCGCCAACTTACTTTATCGATAAATATGAAAACGCCACCTAGGATCTAAGGCGCACGTGCACTCACACACACAACACAACCAAATTTTGGGTTTGTGTAGGCGCGTATATGAGCCCCTTAGAGCGACCATATTGACGAAAAACAGCGCCCTCAACGGTATTTGACGAGTCCAATTGGACTGCCAGAGAAACCATGGAAAACCTCAGTCGTGCAGCCGGCCGATAATGCAGGGATTCCACTGTGTCCATTGGTCACACTGACTCAATGGGCACAGTGGTTCTCTACATTCATGCCTAGTGACTGTAGTCCCACGCGTTTAAGTGTGCCTAAGCGGACACCCATCCAAGTACTGGGCAGACTGAACGCTGCTTAGCTTGGATGACCGCCGGAGCCACTAAGTAACAATGTTTTGCTATTTGTGAAAAAAAAAGCACCACAGTGTATCCGCAGGAGAAAAATATAAATTTTAGTGTAATTACTTAATTACATGACGTGAGATATTTCATAGTAGATCACAAAAATAAGTGTTTTTTATTGGTATAAAGCAGTAATAATGAGAAGTAGGAAACGAAAGCTCTTTGCTATAATTGTTTACGTTTCTTTCCCTTTCCACAGTCTTTATGAATCGTATAATAGTTCTTTTATTAGTGTATAAAATACTGTTCAATTTATTATACTTATGGAGGATGGAAATTATTCCTAGAAAATCGATTTTTTTGTCTATTTTTGTTTTTGTTCAATTTTTTGTATAATATTTTACGAGCAGCGAGTTTTCTCATATATTTATCGTCAGCTTCTAGCCACCAATATTTTTTATTTATACTATCAAAGTTATCCATATCCGCTTATGGGATTTCTCTCGAATATATCATATTTCTTGATTAGAAATCATCAATGGTTTTTTTTTTACTTTTTTATGTCTGCTTAAGTGCGCATCAAAATCATTTGTTCGGAATTGTTATAAATTTATTCATATTCCGAATTTTACCAGAAATCAATTTCATCCCCAAAAAAATAAAGTTTAAACAATTTCAATGATTTATTTGTAAACAACGAATGTTTAAAAAAAGTTCTCAAATTATTTTTTGTTGTTAACTGGGCACACACGTAAATCGCTATTATCAACGCTTGGTTATAACTCACATCGGCAACAATAAAAGACATTTAGCTTTGCGATCTTATACTGTGATGCCGATATATGCCAATTCTGCGCCTGTTCTTGCCATTCAGCCCCAGCGTAAAACTTCGGGAAGCCCAGAATCTCAACGATATTAAATTACTCCGCCAACCGCCATTTGTCTGTTGACGAGTCGAGTGCAAACAAGCAAAGGTAGTAGTTTTAATTTGCAATTCTCTGCGAATAAAATTTTATCTCACAGATGAGAGTTTTGACAATTTAAATACTTCATGGTAAATAGATGGAAATAAATAGTCCCTAGTACTTCTAGGAATTTTAGATAATTAATAATTTTTCAACTGCTTTCAATTATCGAATAAAACTTTTTCCATACGGACTATTCTGAGTTTTAGTTAAGGGGAGACTACTGTGAGTTTTAAAAGTCGTGGGTTGGAGTGAGACTTTTCATACGTTGAAGATCGATTATATAGATCTGAAAACGAATAATTAGTGCAAAGAAATTTTTTTTTGTTGTTCGTTTGTCCGAAAACGCTTGAAATGCCAAAAACAGTCCAGGGCCTCCAATTTTTGAGCTACAAACGATTTTTGATTTCAAAATTTTCGGAAAAATATGTGGAATAACAATTACGAACTATTTTTTTTAATTCGCCTCTTACATGGCTAAATTTTCTTTTTTGTATTTTTTTTACACAAATAGTGAATTTTTTTACATGAAAAAAAAGCGAAATCAGCTGTGTAGGAGTCGAATTCCAAAAAACTGGCTCGTAATTGTTGTTCCTCACATTTTTCCAAAAATTTTGAGAAAAAAAAAATCTTTTGTGGCTCAAAAATTAGAGGCGCTGGACTGTTTCCGCATTTTAAGCGTTTTCGGGCAAACGAACAGTAAAAAAATTTTTTTTTGCACTAATTATTCGTTTTGAGATCTATATAATCGATCTTCAAAAGTATGAAAAGTCTCACTTCAATAACCCACGACTTTCAAAACTCATAGATTTTTCGATTCTCTAATTTTCCTTAGAAATGACTTAGAATATCATAAAACGTCGAGATATGATTTTTTTTAGAGAATGTGGGTACGTCCGTATGTGCGTACAAAATTCTGTGAATTTTTAAATAAATTTTTACAGAAAAAAGACTGAAGAGATAAAAAACAAGCTGAAGTTTGGCATGGAGTTAGTCTCAAGTTATACCCATTAACTGAAAAAATTTCAAACTTTTTGAAATGATTTTTCCCATTTAATTATCAAATTTACGAAAAAATGACCACCGACTGGACAGTTTCACGCACAGACATGGTCGCCAAACTTCGTATCTTTACGTTTCAGACCATTTTACATAATTTCCAAGCAAAATTAGAAAATGTAAAAATCGAACGATTGTAATGCTTCCATTCGGAAGCAAAATCTGAAATTCTGGCTCATAATTGGTATTACTTGTGTGACGTGGGAGAAAATCTGATTTTTATTGTTATTGAGAGTTTATTTATTGACGACCGACTTTGTCAGTCAAAACCCACAGTGATTGTCTCGGCTGCTGCTCGCGAGCTTACGGGGAGTCCGCTCAGGTCAGGATAGGGTCTTCAAGTGACAAAACCGATAGATATTTAACTGGGTTATAATTAGGAAATAATACAAATCAGTAGCGAAGTGGTAAAGCGGTCAATTTTGACCAGTTTTCAATGAATATCTCGGAATCTAAGGGAGATAGCAAAATTTTTATCGCAACCTTTTTTGTAGAGTCGATTGAGAACTACAAAAAATGTGTGTTTGGAGAGGAAGGTTTAGGATGGATTGTGGGAGGTGGGTGAAAATGTGAAGGCTGGAAATGATAAAATTCACTGATTATAAAATACGCCATTTATTAGTGGAATCGAATCACTTTGTTAATTAAATATATACACTTCAATCAGTCGCTTCCCCTGGTTGAGTTACTGAGTTGATACCGCAGGAATTCTCTTATCACTATTGGTGCGCATTATGTCATGAATATATTAGATATCGAAATATTGAAACTGCATAACAAAAAAGTTATGAAAACAATAAATACTTGAAGAATGACGATTCTTCTACGTGATTTGAGTGAGTTCATTCGCAAAGCATGAGACCTTTCTCTGGCCACGTGAGTTGAGATGTCTGAGAGAATCAAACAATTGAAGAAAAATTACTTGTCTCAAGAAAATATGTTTCAGATATTAGAAATTTTTTTTCTTAGTGTGGGAGCATATCTGTGCGATATTTCAGCTCAATCGGTCCAGTAGTTTTTGAGATACAGCGATTCCGAAAAATTTTTCTTTCCTCAATAACTCGAAAGTTTTTGCCGTCAAAATATTCCTTATGATAATATCTATCGAATCGGACCACAATACGCCTAGCTGACCATTGCAAGTCGACCAATAATTGACATTTTTCATTTTTGTGATAAAATTGATGTGAACACGATAACGCTTGAAAAAATTGAGATAGGAAGTTGAAATTTGATAAGATTCTAGCTCTTCCTATATTTCAGGATGGGGATTTCAGATGAGCGAAATCGAATGAGTAGTTGTACAGATATTCAATTTTTGTGTAAAACGGGGAGAGTGGGACAAAATGAAACAGTCAAAATACGACTGTTTGACGCAATTCAAGCAAAAAAAATTCTTTTGAGTTTTTTTTATCAACATTTCTTTATTGTTGGGAGTACTGATGAGAATAATAAATTTCCGTTCAGTAGAATGGACAATTATTGAGGAGTTTTAACGGGCGAAAACTTTATCAATGGATTATTTGAAAAGAAAATAAAACAGCAAAAACCAAAGTCCAGGAAAATGGAAAATGAGTTGCTGAATTTCAATCGAATGAAAAATGAAAAGTGTAATCGGCCTAATCTAATCAATTGAACTATAAGACGAATAAAAAATTATTATTCTCATCAGTACTCCCAAGAATAAAAAAAAGTTGAGAAAAAAATTAATAAAAATTTTTTTGCTTGAATTGCGTCAAACAGTCGTTTTTTACTGTTTCATTTTGCCCTATATTCTTCCATATCCCCAAAGCTATTCATCGGATTTTGTCGATGAATCCTTGGAACATGTATCTTTATTCTTCCAGATACCCCATTTCGGCAAAAGATTTTAATTCTGCTGCACTCGCGACAACAATGGGGGAGACATCTTCGAAAATGGATGGACATTCAGGTTCAGTGGAAAATTCAATGCTAGCTCTTCTCGCATCTGCTATTAATGATGAAAGATCAACTATGATTGCTCGTCCTAATCCTGGGGATCCTCCACGTGGAAATGTGGGAATTCTCGAGGCGAAATCTCCAACATGGCAGGACGTCGTGACATCCAAAGAATTCATCTATGGAGCTGGAGCAGCTATGGGGGCAGTTGTGGGTGTTGCAATGGCTCCAAAGGTTGCCAATGAAATCGGATTCCGTGAAGAAGGAATTAAGAAGGACTCCAGTGCAACTTCAATGATGCGTAGACATGGGCCCTCAACCCCTGCTGGGGGAGTCGTTGCTACTTGCCAGCATGTGGGGAACAAGAACAGCGTTCTCGGATCTCCTGCGGCTACTACTGCGTCTGCACTAACCGGGGCAGGAATTGGCCTTGGTATTGCTGCCATGGCCGTGGAAATTGCAAAATTATTTGAAGATGATAATGATGGCGATGAGGATGAGTAAATATGAAGAACATAATGTGGTAATTATATTATATAACTGCTCCAACGAATTTTTCGAAGAAGCTGAATTATTTCGTCATTTAATACCAATGGAAATTGAAATCAACAAGAAAATTGAGTCGGACTTAATTAGGTAAATAACTTGGAGGGGGTGACTGGGTCAAATTTTGACCTTTGTGGTTCATACCATACGAGAATCGTTTTCCGTGAATTTCTGTAGGAATATAAGAGAATAAATCTGAAACGTTCAGTAAATTTTCGGGTCTGTCACCAAAAAAATACGAAAAAGTCATCTAATTTTTCTGGAAGTTGTAAAATCTAACAGAAACTTCACGACTTATTATGCCTCAGAACATGAAAATTCTTGGATGTTTAAGAATTTTTACGAAAAGTTCCGGAAAAATTACGGAACGTGTTGTTAAAATCTCCCCCTCACGGTGACTCATGGCTAGCCGTGAGGCGTCGGACGGATGAGTAATTTTTACGGAACAGATCGTAGAATTTACGTGACGATTAACACTTTTCATTGAATTTTACTTCGCTCCCAGATTACGTTTCGAAACGTAATTTTTACGTCTTTTTTCTGGTGATTTTTATCGAATATTTCTCTGCGTGCATGTTGAATCTATATGAACACCTCATAAATGAAATTTCATAACTGCTTTTAGAAGGGAAAGCGCAGAATGGGAAGTCCCGTACATCTACATGAGCATACATATTATTAAGTGTGATAGCTCAAAGGAGGGTAAATTCATTTATAGCAACCAGGTTCCCACAAAAATACGTCGAATTACTTCAAGATCAACATAAAAAGTTGATATTTACCTATCAGTATCCCGAATGAATAGGAGTTGCTATGTTATCTAATTACCGAACATGTTAATCGTAATGTATTAATTTTGCTTATCATTTGCAATTTTTCAAGTAAAATTTTTCCCTTAACATATGATCTCGTGTAAAATTTATTGACGTTGGCCCATAATCAACTTTTTTATCTATTTAATTGTTCATTCATTCACTTGAAATCTCCGGGAGAAACCCCTTATTTGAATGAGACACCTTGCGGTACCAGCGATTGAGAAAATTCTCATCTCCAGGTCTTAGTTTTGAGGCTTTCGCGGCCGCGATTATTGTGGATTAATAAAAAAATACGTTTATTAAAGAAATAAAATAATCCGATGACAAAACGTCAATATTATGAATCAAGAAGAATAGAAGAATCAATAATAACAAAAGGGAAGCGCTAACTTCAGAAGAGTTCTATATCGAAAGAAAAGAATTAATACCTGATAAAATGCATTGAAGAAGAGAGATTTAAAAATTCATAACAATATCATTGGCTTGCGCCGACGTTTCACAAATATTGCAGTCTGCATCTTCAGGGCTATGAGCTCCGATTCTAAGGGTGGCCCTTATATGCCCTCCCCTGCAATGACGAGGGGTGTGGGGAGAGGGAAAGTTACCAATCATTTTTAATTCAGTAGCGAAGTGCAAAAGGCGATAAGTCAATTTTGACTATTGACCAGCTTTCAATCAATATCAAGGAATCTAAGGGAGATAGCGAAATTTTTGTTATAACCTTTTTTGTGGAGCCGATTAAGTGCTACAACAAATGTCATTAGAAAAATTTCGCTATCTCCCTTAGATTCCGAGATATTGATTGAAAACTAGTCAATTGTCAAAATTGACTTATCTTCTTTTACCACTTCGCTACTGAATTGATCAGCTGGTCAATTAACCGGGAGAACGGTTTTCCAAATAGGGTTCACTTGATATCCTCTGTCCCTGTTGAGGTTGTTAGGGTTTTTATCGATCTCCAGACCCCTCGATATTTCCTTTCGAAATATCCTTGAATACAAAAATATTGCTAGGTTGGACTTTAATTCAAGCGGATCAATCGTTGCCATTTCATCTCAACAAAATTACTGGAAGGTGCTGCTCTGCTGAGGATAGTCACTAAGTGGAGTGGTGTCCATGAGGAAACACCTATGTAAAGAATGATGTTCCCCGTAAATTCATTCAATCATTCTTAATCTTTCTAGAGAACTGCAGCTTCTCAGCCATTAACGGTCATTAAAACGATTTTATTAATCACTCGAACTTATAAAAAATAGAAGATTCCAAAAGATTTCCATTTATGCCAACGTTTCGGACCCAATGATGAAAGAATGATGTTCCATATATCAGAAAGGTATTAGGAATAAATCCTATGGGAAATGAAAAGAAAAATTTCAGGGGCCACAAGCCACGAGGTAGTGGCACAATCGAAAGCAGGAAAAATATCCATTTATTTCAGTCGAAAAATACGACATTATTTTCTATCTAACTACTTAAATATTACAAAAGACTTGTTAATTTTTTATTTAACTCTTAAAGTTAATTTTTCCAATCTGCCTTCTTCACGTTAATTCAACTCTCGTGATTATTTTATAGGATCCATCAGCTTCTTTAGTATCTCTCTGGCAAATATCGAGGGTCTTCACCTCGATTTCTCCAAAATTATAGTCTTGAAAGGCCTGTGAACAATTGAATAATTTGAAGGAATTAGTATTTGTGAAGAATTCTTTGGTTCCTCTTAGTCAGATGATGAAATTTACCGATAATATTCTCACAGCGTTGAAATAAATCCTCCGACTGCGCCTTCTTTGATCGATTGGGATTAATTTACTCGAGTTTATCACAGTCATGTGTAATTTGACTGATTCGGTCCGTTCGACTCTCATCAATTCTAAAAAACAACGTGAATTTAATGGTTTTTAATATTAAAGATCATTGGAGCATTCAGAAAAGCTACCAAAATATTCTAGAATCTCAGAGAATTATTAATAAACATAAGTTGTGATTTATGTTACGTTTTTCAAGAAAAAATCCGAAGACTTTGTTAGCAATCTCTTGAAGCTTTTCATTCGGTAAAATTTTTCCATAAAGCACTGATACTTTGGTTGGATCGTCATTCATGTAGTCCAAGCCCTGGATTTTTACCATCAAAGGCTCCTTGAGATCCTTCATGATCGGTCTGCAAAGATAAAAGAACATCTCCAATATTTGAAAAAAAGTTGACGATAATTCAAAAAACCTTATGCATTAGTTTACAAATATCTTGAAAACTATTGGTTTTACAGAACAATGTCAAAAAATATTTTTTGAAGCTGAGAAAATTTCTGACGAAAAATGTCTTATAACTTTTTTTCTGAAACCTCTCCCTTCCCCAGATATTTGGACAATAATCTTCAACGCAAGTTGCGAATGTAATTCAGAATTTTTCTACAATTACGACATTGGGATTGAAAAAATATGATTACTTGACTATTGTCTCAACACATTCATTGAGAACATCCGCAGCCTCTTTCATCTCCTTCTCGTCCAACAGCAGGAGCATTCCAACTGTGAGATGCAGTTTACTCGGGCTGATGAACATATCCTCCACGACTCCAGAGTGCTTGAACTCAGAATCGGTCAGGATTCTGTCTTTAAAACTCTCGTAGTTCTGTACAATCTCGTCGTTCTTCAGAGGGATAGACACGAAATGAGTCGGTGGAATCTTCCTCCTCGAGAATTCTATCAACAGGTCAATCCTCTGTCTGCAAGAGATCACATCCCCCTTCGTGTACCCAGTAATTGTTACCAAATCTGTTGAGTTTTTCAGTGGAACTCTGATTGTTGTTTTTGTCTCTCTCTCCAGTTTCTTCTTCGTATCCCCTTTGTAACCCACGATGTGTCCGTTGAAAGTGCTAGAATCCGACGTAAGTACATGGGGATGAATTTTTTGTGATAAAAAAAATAACGAGGGAGTGGTGAAAATACGAATGATACGTGCGCTCGAGTGGAGAATAATAAAATCATTGTAATTTACTGGGCAATTGAGACGCAATGAATTTCACCATTGGAAAGAATTATTGGGAATTAATGTGGAGTGAAATGAAAAATATTGCTTGGAGAAAGAAAATGAAAATAAGTGGGAAATTTTTTTCGTCACAATATAGTCAATATATTTTTGATAACAAAAAAAAAATTGGAAAAATTGGCAAATTGAAAATTTTCTTTGGAATGGTTTTCTGTGAAGATGTATTTTGAATTGAATTCAATGATTTATTGTATTCATAATTGCCTCAACTTTGGCAGCCAACATTTCCCCAAAAAAAGTAGCCGACATTGGCCCAGCGTTGGCAGCCAACATTGGCCCAATATTGATTGTCAACATTGCCCCAGCGTTGACAACCAACATTGCCCTAACGTTGGCAGCCAATATTGGCCCAACATTAGTAGCCAGCATTGTCCCAACATTAGCCTGCTAACGCTAGGACAATATTGGCCCCACATTGGCTGCCAACGCTAGGGCAATATTAGCAGCCAATATTGTCCCAACTTCAGCCGCCAACATTGCCCCAACATTGGCCCAACTTTGTCCTAACGTTGGCAGCCAATATTGGCCCAACATTAGTGGCCAGCATTGGCCTAATATTGGCTGCCAACGATATGGCAATATTAGCAGCCAATATTGTCCCAACTTCAGCCGCCAACATTGTCCCAACTTTGACCTAACGTCGGCAGCCAACGTTGACCCGACATTGACCCAATGTTGATCGCCAACATTGGCCCAGCGTTGCCCCGACATTGGCCCGATGTTGGTCGCCAACACTGGCCCAACGTTGGCAGCCAACATTGCGCCATTAAATTTTTTTCTTTCCCTGAACCTAGGTCTCGAAATAACTTTTGTCAACCGATAATCCAATCAATCTCACGATCGAACTCGGTAAGATGGCATTAGGCAGAATATTTTAAATCACAATTCCATTCACTCAAACAATTATTTTTCCAGGCCAATTGTGACGCCAAAATTAGCTGCACAGTGATACAATTCTAATATAAGTATACGAATTTAATTTGAAGGAAAAAATAACGAAAATTAATTAATCATATAATTAATTTGGTTAATTAATTGATTAATAATTCAGTGGCACGTACTTGGGGATGTCCAGGGTGTGACGAAATTTCCCACCATCAATCTGTTCAATTTCAATCGAATCGTTCTCACATGCCTCGCTCGTCATATCGTCCAACTCGGTTTGGTACTCCTCTTGGTACGGTGCACTCCTCTGATTCGACCATACGTTGCTCTCGAAGAACCTGTAACGACGACCGTGCACCCACACGGTCTCCGGCTCCAACACGTCCATTGTTGTCGGTCAATAGCGCAGGAACACGCGAGTGGTAAAACACGGTGAAAATAATTGATGTGGAAGCTAATTGGGGGACGTAATGATATCAAAACAAACTCGCCGGTGGAATAAGTGAATTGAAGTGAAGTTTGATGGCAGCGAGGACTCTGAAGTTGTCGAGAGTCATTGGGTCGTTTGAAAAGGTAATAGTTGTTGAGTTGTTTGCGAGGTTCTGCGATTTGCGCTTTTTTAGTTGACGGAAAGTCATATTTTTTTTTAGTTGTGCGGGAGGAAACGATTTTTTTAATTGCGAAAACGAAGGTTTTTGTGATTTGGAGGAGGTTTGCAACTTCGATTGGGGTAATTAATTATAATTAGGGGAGATACTGCGGTTGTTGGTTGGATATCACAGTTTTGGGGGGAAGATAATTTTTTTTATGTTCGACAAAAATTCTGCGATTTTTTAGGCCAAAAATGTGTCTCAAATTTTTATTTTATTATTTATTTTAATATTGTTTTGTTAAAATTGTTAGAATTTTTTGTTTCAACTCCCATATGCTCCCCATCAGTCTAAAAAATAGCAGAATTTTCCTCAAGCGAAAAATAATCTGTTTTCGTGAAATGTAAAAGATATTACAGGTTTTTGAGAAAGTTAATTTTTTTATGTTCGAGAAAAATTACGCGATTTTTCAGTTTAAAAAATTATTTGAAAATTCTTGTCTTACGATTCATTTCAATTATTTATTTGTTGAAATTGTTTAAATTTTTGGATTAACTTCCATATGTTCCTCCGTCAGTCTAAAAAATAGCAGAATTTTCCTCAAGCGTAAAAATAATGAGTTTTCATAAAATGTAAAAGATATTATAGTTTTTGGTGGAAATTTTTTTTTTTGTGTTCGGGAAAAATTCTGCAATTTGTTAATCTACAAAATTAGTCTAAAATTTTCATTTTATTATTTATTTAATTACTTTTTTGTTAAAATTGTTGACAATTTTTGTTTCACCTCTCGTATGTTCCTCCATTAGACTAAAAAGCAGTAAAATATCCCTCACACATGAAAAAATTCAATTTTCGTGAAATGGCCAAAATTGGTGATTTTCTAAAAAAGGAAAAAGTTGGGGAAATGTTTTTTTGTTTCATAGCAAAGGTAAAATATTTCATGATTTCAATGAAATTTTCGAGTTTTAGTGCTGCAATTGCTGATAATTAATGGAGCAATTGCATTTGTCGACTGGACACTACTGTTTTTGATGGAAATTATTACTTTTTCCCCAAATTTCCATTTAACCGTTCAATTTATTGCTGATATATTCTTCAACCATAATGTGTCATATTTTTTACAATCATTTTAAATATTAAAAAATTTTAATATTCAAATATTTCGAATATTTAAATAATTTTTTTATAATTTTTTTTACGTTTGAGAAAAATTCGGCATTTTTGAGAATCGACTTTCTATTCTAAAATAATTACCATCAATATTTATCATAAGGGAGAGTGGGGTAAAGCGGCCCCTTTTGACTTTTTTTGTAAGAGTCATAACTCAGAAACAAATTCATTAATTGAGATCAGTCTAGGCTCATTCTAAAGGGGAAGAAGTGGAGTTTAAATTGAATGAGATGTTAACATTTTTGAAAAAACCAAAAGGGGCCGTTTTACCCCACTGTCCCGTATCATTTTTACAAACACTTTTTTTTTAATCCTTAAGGCCCGGGTGTACTATTTTTCGAATATTATCTGGATTTTTTTTATCTTTCGTAATCCAAAATTGTCAATTGAATGGTACATCATGTAGAAATTCCCAAAAATTATGATAGAATGATAAAAAAAATAGAAAAAATTCTGAACTTTTTCAAAGAGCGTTTTTAATTGAGATTCAGAATGAGTTGAAAAAAGTGGAAATTACAAATATCTGATTCGCTGTGGCAAATTATCTATTAGCTGTCATTTTCCATGGTGGATAACAAAACACTAACTCCTCATGGGAAGTGACAGCTAGGTATCTCAATTTTCAAAACAGTGGTATGTAGTCATCTGCCATTTTTATGTGATAAAAGTGTGATTAAAAAATTCTCCAAAATATTACAACTTTTTTCAAAGAGCCTTTTCCGTAATAAATGTCTCTGTGCAGTGTGGGAAAAGATTTACGAAATCAGTCTGCCCCCTGCATGATATTGGGTGACAGGCCACCATTTATCACCGTAAATCAGATACATTTTTCAATTTCTTGTTATTCGACTTATTCTGAATATAAATTAAAAATGCTCTTTGAGAAAATTAAGAATTTTTTCTACTTTTTTTGATTATTCATTCATAATTTTTCAAAACTCCTGCATGATGTAGGACTCAATTGACAATTTCAGATGACGAAAGATAAAAAAAACATCGAGATGACTTTCGAAAGATAGTACACCCGGACCTCAATTTACAAAAAAAGTATTTATAAATACAAAACGAAAATAAATCACTCCCTCGCCCACTCCATAAAAAACACCCAAACAATTGTTTTATTAGCCATTTATTTCACTTCATCAGTTAATTATTTATGTACAACCATCAGCATTACTCTCTATAAATAATCAATCATCGATTAATTAGTCAATTAAAATTGAGTTCAATATATAACCCCTCTCTCTCTCTAAATTCATGTGCCATTGGAGATAGTGTGCGCCAGTGGGAACTTATAAAAATTTATTTCATCTGACAGGAGTGATTTTGGTGTTTACTTAATCAACTATTCATAACTCTTGCAAATTCATTAGCTCGCAGGAGATTAACTCACGCTGAGATCTAGGTAATAACTTACACTCTGTCTATCGACCTCACTTTAATGTTACAAAGTCCCTTAATTAATTTTATTTAAATGGTGATTCATTTTTTTTGGCTTTTATACAGTTTTTGCTGCCAATTTATTGGTTTCTGTCCCAGTTTTTACGAGATAATTTTATTTACAATTCTTATAAATGTTTTATTGTACAGCTATAATACCTATCACACGTACTCTCGCTTAATTATATCGTCGTACAGTTGTTAATTAATTTTTTTTCTGTTAATTAGTTGTTTTTTGTGGTTTTTTCCAGTGGAGAGGAGTTTGCTTTCTCTCTCCACTCGTTTTTATTTTTTTTTAATAAATGAGGAGCAATTTAATTCGAACAACAATAATCATTAGTAATTGGTAATTAGTGGAGAGTAACAATGGGGGAGGGGAGGGGGTATTTGAGGGTTTGGAAGCCTTTTTTACACTCGTCAGTTCGTGATTGAGGGGTGGGGGTGGGTTTTCGCTGCGGGGGGGACAGATTTACCTGAGATTTTGCTCGATTATCAAGTTCTGAGCGGGATTTTCAAGGGGAAGGGGTGAAACGTCATAAATTTTCGGGATTTTTTTGGAGGAATTTGATTTTTTATCAATTGTTTTCATTCAATTGAGTGATTTTTAATTCTTGCAACTACTTAATTGCTCGATTATCTCGGTTGTGAGTGCGCTGAGGCGAAAATGTGATACGACATTTTTTGTAGAGAATTTCATTTCCTGCAAAAAAGGTTTAAATACATTTTTCGCTAGTACTGCTCATTGAGGAGATAATTAAGGACTTAAAGGAAGGGTTTTGTTTCAATTGAAGGGTTCTGCGTTTTACCTCTAGTTAATTAGGTATGTATCTCGGTTATGAGATGGTTGAGAGAAAAATGTCAAGAGACACTTTTTGTGGGGAATTTAATTTCCTACGAAAAAGGATTTATGGCATTTTCTCGTAAATCCACTCGTTAATGAGATAAAATCGAAAATACGTTTCACACTTCCCCCCAGATTTCGTGGTGAAGTAAAATATCGATTCTGCGATGGTTTCCTGGGGGTATGGGGCGGACTGCAAAGGGAGAGGCTTCGTTGAATAGGTGAGGAGTGCCCCCAGCATAGCATTGAAATAAAATTTACGTTTTTCATGCTGTTTTGCCCCGGAGACCAATTTCCATATTTTTTTTCCACTAATTTTTTTCATTTTCGTGAAAAGTTCATAATTCATAATTTCTCATGTTTGTTTCTTGGACTTCACTTCACCACTAACACTTCCATCCACAGTCTCCCCAAAAGCCCAACACACCCATTAATTTAACTAATAATAACAGAAAAAGGGAAAATAAATGAAAACCAAGAATGAAACGTCATAAATTCACTTGTGTACTCTCGATTAAAGAGGCCGCCCCCTCTCTCTCTATATATTTTTCTCACATTTATAAATTCTACCTATACACTTAAATCTATACATGACACGGTCTATACCCTATCAATTAACAACTAATTAATAAAAATCAGAAAGTAATTGTCTGACACATAAACGAATTCATCGGTGAAGTGAGCAATTCGAATCAAATTTTACAGCTCTCCAACTCCGCGATTATCTCGAGAACGGCTGTTCCCAGGGGAAAATGTCAAAAAACATTTTTGTAGTGAATTTAATGAGCTACAGAAAAGGTCGAGAGGCATTTCCTCCCAAAACCACTCATTACCGAGATAATAACACATTTCTAACTTCACTTCAGAATTTCACCTGTAACTCCCTAACTTAACATTCCACATTCTCTTCCCTGCTAAAATCATTTCCAATAATTTTCTCCTTCTCTTTAATTATTTGTTAAGAATAATTGCGAGATATTTTTCAAGATAATTAAATGAATTAATTTATCCATTTATTTATTTATTACTCGAGCAGAAGAAGTGAAGAATAAAAGAGAAAAAAAAATGAAATTTCTTTAGAATTTCCTTTATTTATTGCAATATCAACTAATCATTCAATCAATTGATGAATTGATCAATTGTTCGATTAGTTATTCTCATGAAAAATAATAATTAAGAGAGAAAACAACAAAAATCATGAATCTGGCAAAAAAATAGCAAAAATAAGATTTTTCAAAATAATTTAATATTTTACAGTTCACATTATTCAACTCTGTTTTTCATCATTATAATCATTATCTAGTGCCACTAAACTACAACTTTAACTTCAATTACACATCTCGATTGAATATTCTCCCTCTCGAGAACATTTTCCCCCAAATTTGTCAAAAGTGAATCCAATAATTATTTTTTAAATTACAAATACAAAAGAAATATTCCCATCACTTTTTGTACTTTTTCATTAGCAAAGTTTATAAACGAGAAATATCCTCAATTATTCAACGTATTGCTTGAATTTTCCATCCAAAGAGAAAAGAAAAGTTTAAAAGTCCAGGAAATTCCACTTTCCTTGAATAAAAAAAAAGGAAAATGAAAGTGTTTTTTTTCCAATCAATTGAATTGAAAAATTCCTTCTCCACATAGTCTTACCCATTATTCTCGTAATAATTGACAGCATTTGTTCAAGTATGATTAATCATACCGAAAACATCGACCTCTCGGGAATCAACCAGTTCCCAGTAGTTTTAATTATTTAATCATGTAGTTTACTCACGAAATGAGACAAGTGAATGAGACTTTTCTGCTAAATACACAATCACCCCCAGAAGGAGCAATTCCAGGAGGAAATGTCAAAAGACTTCTTTCATAGACAATTTAGTCACCTACGAAAAAGCTCTGAATATATCTCCACTAAAACATTTTCCCCACATCTCAAAGCTTTAATCACCTCCTTAAATACAATTTGACATTTTCTCTAAAAAAAATCCCATTCACCCCATCCCATCCCTCATAAATATTTTTCTCCATTCACTCTCTCAAAAAAATTCATCTAATTAGGTATCCTTGCACGTTATTGACTCAACAAGTCCTACCTATCCTCCCAAAAATCCCAATCAACTCCCCAATTTCACCCCCCCCCCCCCCCCCCCCCCCNTCCCCAATTTCACCCCACCCCCCAAATAGCACTCAAACCCTAATAATGACAACTAATAATCCCCAATAATTGAATAATCATCGTCAGAGGAACGAAAATCATCAAACCTTCACTAAACTCCTACCAACGATTAATGACTGAATTGTGGAAAAATATAAAACTTAACTAAATGTACACAACGTCATACTTATCATCATTACACTTTAAGTTCTCTCCTTTATTACTAATTAATGAATTAATTTTTTTTCTCATTTTTTTCCTGCCATTCCACCACACACTCTCATCGTCTATCTCACATATCACTCGTCTCATTATATTTTATGATTTTTTTAATGCATTTTTTTAATGATTTTTTTCCTGTCGAAATTTACATAAAGTACAAACTTAGCAAAACCGATAAACTTAACACAATTATTTCGGTTTCCAAGACGTTTGTCCCACGTCTTCTCGTGTTTCGTTATTTTTTATAATTTTTTTTTTAATCAATTAATTATCAGAGTAGCGTTTTGTAAGTATTTCTTTTACTAATTACATTGGGTCACACTCGTGTGTCCGTCGACAACACAAACACACCATTTTTAGGATCATTTTATCGTTTTTAATGATTTATTTACGTTTCTCCCCTTTCATTCAGAACTCTTCACGTTTAGAATTGTCTTTGCCCCATTTTTATTTTTTATTTTTGGGGCATACTGGGTGGGCACCACCCAGAATTGTCCATTGGAGCACAAAACACAGCAGCAAATGTAATTTCTGGGCTTTTTTCTGGTGTTGCGAAGTCTGAGGGGGTCGAGGGGCTTGAGGGGGCTGCGAGGGCACGAGACAGTGTCCTTGGAGATGGTCCTTGGGGGTGAGGAATATTATAACGTTTCCTCGAATGCTGCCATCAAGTCACTTTGCATGTTCATGTCGATTTTGTTCGCCATCTGAAAAATTGAAAATTGATAGGGGTATTGCAGGCGTTTTTTAAAGTTTTTTTTTAGGTGAGGGTGAAGTAGTTTTGAGGGTCAAACGAGTAGTGAGTAGGTTTTGATCTGGGGGTTAAACGACCCTTAATGACGTTTTCAAGGTTGTTTGACCCCTAATAGTATTAAGAATTCTTGGAAATAGCGTTAAGGGTCGTTCAACCCTCGAAATTAATTGACCTTCAATTTGTTTTAAGGGTCAAAGAACCTTTAATGACGTTATTAAGGTTGTTTGACCCCCCAAGAGTGTTGAGAATTCTTAGAAATATCGGTAAGGGTCATTAAGGGTCGTTTAACCCTCGAAATTAATTGACCTTCAATTTGTTTCAAGGGTCAAACGACCCTTAATGACGTTATTAAGGTTGTTTGACCCCGAAGAGCATTAAGAATTCTTAGAAATATCGTTAAGGGTCATTAAGGGTCATTTAACCTTCGAAATTGATTGACCTTCAATTTGTTTGAAGGGTCAAACGACCCTTAATGGCGTTCTTAAGGTTGTTTGACCCCCAAGAGTATTAAGAATTCTTAGAAATATCGTTAAGGGTCATTAAGGGTCGTTTAACCATCGGAATTAATTGACTTTTAATTTGTTTTGAGGGCCAAACGACCCTTAATGACGTTTTAAGGTTATTTGACCCTCAAGACTTAAGAATTCTTAGAAATATCGTTAAGGGGCATTGATAACGTTTTAGGGGTTATTTGACCCTCAGGATGTTTATCAATTAAAAAAATTGTCATTAAAGGTTGTTTAACCCTCGAAATTAATTGACCTTCAATTTGTTTTGAGGGTCAAACGACCCTTGAGAATACTGAAGGTTAAGGGTCATGTGATTTCGAAGGTCAAGTGACCCTTGAAGACGTTTGGAGTTGAGGGTTAAACGACCCTTAATGACGTTTTTAAGGTTGTTTGACCCTCAGTACTATTGATAATTTTTGGAAACATCGGTGAGGGTCATCATGACTTTTTTAGGGGTCGTTTGACCCTCAGGATTTTTGTCAATCCTTAAAAATGTGAAGATCGTTGAACCCTTGAAATAAATTAATCTTCAATTTGTTTTGCGGGTCAAACGACCCTTGAAAATGCTCAAGTTACCCTCGAGGACGTTTGGAGTTGAGGGTTACACGACCCTTAATGACTTTTTTAAGGTTGTTTGACCTTCAATACTTTTAACAATCCTTAAAACCGCCATTTAAGGTCGTCTAACCATCAGGATTAAGGGCTGTTTGACCCTCAGGATTGTCAACAATTTTTAAAAACCATTATTAAAGGTCGTTTAACCCTCGAAAACACTCGACCTTCAAATAGATTTGAGAGTCAAACGACCCTTGACAACGCTAAGGGTTAAGGCCCATATGGTTTTAAGGGTCAAGTGACCCTTGAATGTCTGGAGTTCCAAGAATATTCGCAATCCTTAATAACATTTTGAAGGGCTGTTTGACCCTCCAACTCTTAACAAAAAGAAAAAAAAACATAGAACGCACAAAAAAATGGAAAATAAAAATAAACTCACCGCCTCTCGACGTCGACGTTCCTGCTCCCGTTGCCTCTGCCTCTCTCTCTCGGCAGCAGCCTTATCAGACCCTGACGTTTGGCTCGGACTGCTGCTGTCAGTCTCAGTGGAGACCTTGATTTCCTCAGCCCTTGTAGTAGCTGGGATGGTGGACCCTTGCTCAGTCACTGTCTTCATGACCTTCTCGAGGGCGTCCTCCTCCTCCCGCTGCCTCCTCTCGTTCTCCTGCCTGAGGCGCTCCCTCTCCGCCTGCTCCTTCTGCTGTCGCCTCATCTCCTGCTGCTCCACCAGGGCTCGCTGGCGCTCTTGCTTCTCCTTCGCCTGCTTCTTGAACGCTTGGAAGGAGTCCCTCGCCGCTGTCTTCATGCTGCTACCAGCGGTCGATTGAGGGCTCGAGGCCTGCGCCAGGGAGGACCACGACGAGGCGTTCTTCACGTTTTGCTCCACCGTCTGGTTGGGGAAGATGAATAGGGTAAATTTTAAGGGTTAAAACGAGTGCTTGAGCAATTCAGGAAATTTTTTTTTTGTTGTGGGGCAAATGGTCGTTAGGGTCAAATGACCCTTGAAGAAGTGTAGGTCAAAAACCTTTTGACCTCTTCAAGGCTCGTTTGACCCTCAACTCCAGATAGTTTTTTTGTTTGTTGTTGAGGGCCAAATGGTCTTGAGGGTGAATCAACGCTCAATAACGCTTTTAAAGATTGCGTGACCCTCGAGACCTTTCAACCCTCAACTCCAAACATCAGTTCAAGGTTAAATGGTCGTAAGGGTCAGATGAGTCGTGTATTTCGTGGAAGACGTGTAGGTTAAAACCTTTTGACCTCTAATCCCACATGTCTTCAAGGGTCGTTTGACCCTCAACTCCAGATATTTTTTTGTTTTTAGTCGAGGGTCAAATGGTCTTGAGGGTGAATCAACGCTCAATAACGCTTTTAAGGATTGCGTGACCCTCGAGACCTTTCAACCCTCAACTCGAAACATCAGTTCAAGGTTAAATGGTCGTAAGGGCCAAACTATCTTAAATTGTCTTGGGCGAGGAATGACCCTTGAAGACGTGTAGGATTGAGGGTTGAATGAACGTTGCTGATCAGTCTGCGCTGAGCCCATTTGACCCTCAAGTACAAACTTTCTTTTTGTTTTTTGTTGAGGGTCAAATGGTCCTGAGGGTTAGACGACCCTCGATAACTTTCTTAATATTGTTTGGCCCTCAACTCCAAATGTCCTCAAGGGTCGTGAAGTTGTGGGTTAAATGAACCTTTTTGATCCGCCTGCTCTAGCCCGTTTGACCCTTGAGCCCATTTGACCCTCAACTCCAAATCTTCTTGAGGGTTGTTTGACCCTCACGATGATTTGACTCTCAACTCTAAACGTTCTTTTTGTTTTTAGTTGAGGGTCAAATGGTCTTGAGGACCCCTTAACGACCCTTAATAACATCCGTAAGGATTGTTTGACCCTCAACAAAGGGCCCTCCAAAGGGCCTCAAGGGTCGTGAATTTGAGGGTTAAATGGTAAATTCAAAAGGTTAAATCCAATTCCGGAAGCTTTTTATAATTTTTAGTTGCGGGTAAAATAATTTCGAGGGTCAAATGACCCTTAATAACGTCCAGGGTTAAGGGTCAAATGGTCGTAAGGGTCCAGCGACCCTTAAGGACGTTTGGAGTTGAGGGTTACATATAGAGTTGATTATAAGATGTGTAAATGGGTCAAAAGGGTCATTTGTGGGCCATTGGACCCACAAAACTTCAACTAATCACAAAGAAAGGTTTCTAAAATTGCCCAAAATATCTAAGTATCAATAAGAGATTTCTTCATAAAATGTTAAGAGACTGTTTTCAAACAAAATTTTACAAAAACCTTGAAAAATTTCTCTTAACATTTTTCGTTAGATCCAGTCATTACCGGAATGATAAAAAAAACGAAGTATTTACCTTGTTCTTGAACGCAGCAGCAAAGTTACCAGCTGTGTTCTTGGAGTCCGGAGGCGTCATCTTCTTCTCAGGGGCCATCTGTCCACCCCCATGATTGCTGATCGGGGGCATTCCCAGGGCATTCATCTCTGCAAAGAAAGCTCCCGCTACAGCGTCAGCGTTTAAGAAATTTTGATTAGTACAAGCAAACAGTGGGGCACTAACAAAGCTGCAAATCCATCATTTTTTAAGCAATTAGGAGAGGAAAAAAGCAATTAGCAACTCCTTTGCGTGAAAAATAATTTTTTAAAACTATTCTAATATATTTTTGCGAATTGTTTAAGTCAATTTTCTAAATGTGAATCGTTAATTGTATCAGAAGAGAAATAATTACTGAATTTATTGAAAATTTTCAGTTGAAAGTAAATGATTTAATTAATTAATTGAATTAAATTCATTTGAATTGGTTTCAGGTCAATTTTAATTAAATAAATTACAGAAATTATTTCAATAACATTTGAAAAAATATTTCAATGTATTTTGAGATAATATTTTAATCCATTTTCTAAAATTCAATCGTTAATAGCTGGACTATGAAAATAATTATTAAATTAATTAAAAATTTTCTATTCAAATTAAATGATCCAATTAATTCAATTTATTTAATAAATTCCACTCTACTCACCCCTTCCCCTAAGAATTTCGATGATTTGTTTTGATTAATTAATTAAATTAATTAACTCGATTGAATTTAAACAATTAAGATTGATTTTATTAAATTAATCCAATTAATCAATTCGATTTATTAATTCAATTAATCAAATCATTCAATTTTGTAAGTGAAGGGGTGAATGGAGAAAATTCCATTAAATTATCTGAATCAATTAATTCGATTAAAATTAATTCAATTAATTTACTAAAATTTCCTCCATTCACTCTTTCCCTTAACAAATTAAATGATTTATGAATGATTTGACTAATTAACTAAAATTTTCAATAATAAAAAACCAATCCCCCTTTTCCCACCACCAAAATCCCCCAAAAAAAAATTAAAAATCCCCCAAAAAAATGCAAAAAACATGAAAAACTCACCATCCATGGGTTTATGTGCCATTTGCGCCTGCGAAATGATCGGTTTATCCTCTTTCTTAGCCGGAAGTTGAGGAATCATGGGCATAGTAACCATGGGTGGATCGAATATGGAGCTGATGGGTCCCATGCCCATGCCCATGTTGATCCCAGGGATGCCATTGTTGTTCAGCAAATTTTGGGGGGATGTGTCCCTCTTGAAGCCATTCGAGTGCTGCTGGGACGTTCCCATCATGCTGTGGGAGTTCTGAATGCTCGGTGTATTCATCATACTCTCGAGCTGATTGTGCAGGGACATTGGGTTTTGGCCGATTCCCTGCTGGAGATTCAGCCCAAGATTGGACATGTTCAGGCCAGCCAGATTGAGGTTCGAGGGCAAGGACGTTGGCATCATGTTCACTGAGTTCTTCATGTCCTGGAGAATGTTCAAGCTCGTGTTGTTGGGGGTCAGGGGGTGCATACTCGGCACCATCGACATGTGGCTGTCCTTCTTCACGCTATTTTGGGCGTCCACTGATGACTGAGTCGTTGGTATTGATGCTGTTGACGTGGGAATAAAGACTAGTCTATAGAAATTCACGTAAAAAATTTTTTTTTGACTTGACTCAGGTTCGGTTATTGTTGAGGGGCTGTGGGGGTCTAGGGGAGAGTGTCGGTGGGTTGTTTAAGGGGTTGATTGTCTACGGAAATGTTTTCCAGACGAAATAATGAGACCTTCGCTCTTTAATTACGCAGCTAACTCGGTGAGGAGGGGATTTTAGAAGAAATGTACTCAGAGCTTTTTTGCAGGTGACTGAATTGTCTGTGAATAAAGTCTGTTGACATTTCATCCTAGAATCGCTCCTTCTGGGGGTGATTGTGTACTTGTTGAGTCAATAACGTGTGAATGGAGGAAGATATTTATGAGGGATGGGATGGGGTGAATGGGATCTTTTTAGAGAAAATGTCGAATTGTATTTAAGGAGGTGATTAAAGCTTTGAGATGTGGGGAAAATGTTTTAGTGGAAATATATTCAGAGCTTTTTTGTAGGTGACTAAATTGTCTATGAAAGAAGTCTTTTGACATTTCCTCCTGGAATCGCTCCTTCTGGGGGTGATTGTGTATTTAGCAGAAAAGTCTCATTCACTTGTCTCATTTCGTGAGTAAACTACATGATTAAATAATTAAAACTATTGGGAACTGGTTGATTCCCGAGAGGTCGATGTTTTCGGTATGATTAATCATCCTCGAACAAATGCTGTCAATTATTACGAGAATAATGGGTAAGACTATGTGGAGAAGGATTTTTTCAATTCAATTGATTGGAAAAAAAAACACTTTCATTTTCCTTTTTTTTATTCAAGGAAAGTGGAATTTCCTGGACTTTTAAACTTTTTCTTTCTCTTTGGATGGAAAATTCAACCAATACATTGAATAATTGAGGATATTTCTCGTTTATAAACTGTGCTAATGAAAAAGTACAAAAAGTGATGGGAATATTTCTTTTGTAGTTGTAATTAAAAAAATAATTATTGGATTCACTTTCGAAAAATTTGGGGGAAAATGTTCTCGAGAGGGAGAATATTCAATCGAGATGTGTAATTGAAGTTAAAGTTGTAGTTTAGTGGCACTAGTAAATGATTATAATGATGAAAAACAGAGTTGAATAATGTGAACTGTAAAATATTAAATTATTTTGAAAAATCTTATTTTTGCTATTTTTCTGCCAGATTCATGATTTTTGTTGTTTTCTCTCTTAATTATTATTTTTTATGAGAAGAACTAATCGAACGATTGATCAATTCACCAATTGATTGAATGATTAGTTGATATTGCAATAAACAAAGGAAATTCTAAAGAAATTTCTTTTTTTTCTCTTTTATTCTTCACTTCTTTTGCTCAGTAATAAATAAATAAATGGATAAATTAATTCATTTAATTATCTTGAAAAATATCTCGCAATCATTCTCAACAAATAATTAAAGAGAAGGAGAAAATTATTGGAAATGATTTTAGAAGGGAAGAGAATGTGGAATGTCAAATTAGGGAGTTACAGGTGAAATTCTGAAGTGAAGTTAGAAATGTATTATTATCTCGGTAATGAGTGGTTTTGGGAGGAAATGCCTCTCGACATTTTCTGTAGCTCATGAAATTCTCTACAAAAATGTCTTTTGCCATTTTCCCCTGGGAACAGCCGTTCTCGAGATAGTCGCAGAGTTAGAGAGCTGTAAAATTTGATTCGAATTGCTCACTTCACCGATGAATTCGTTTATATGTCAGACAATTACTTTCTGATTTTTATTAATTAGTTGTTAATTGATAGGGTATAGACCGTGTCATGTATAGATTTAAGTGTATAGATAGAATTTATAAATGTGAGAAAAATATATAGAGAGAGAGAGAGGGGGCGGCCTCTTTAATCGAGAGTACACAAGTGAATTTATGACGTTTCATTTTTGGTTTTCATTTATTTTTCCTTTTTCTGTTATTGTTAGTTAAATTAATGGGTGTGTTGGACTTTTGGGGAGACTGTGGATGGAAGTGTTAGTGGTGAAGTGAAATAAAAAACAACACCCTTCAACATTAATTAATACTTTACCTAATGAATTGTAAGGCGACAGTATATCCGGCTGACTGATGCCTCCGCCGTCCGAGGGTGCAGTCACAGCTGGGAAGGCACTGGCAGGTGCCTGGGGCGTATGCGTGACAACGGGAGAGGGAACCGATGTGTTGATACTTGTTGGTGTCACTGACGGCGGTGGCGTCGGCACAGTGACCGATGGGGTGGGTGGATTGGACGTGGCCGGTGGTGGAGGTGTTGGTTTTTTAGCTGGTGCTGGCGTAGCTAGAGCTGTTTGTCTCTGTGGCTGAGCTGGCATCGACGCATGACTCGCCACTGGCATCACCTGGGCTGCTGTCACTGCTGCCACACCTATTGCTGCTTGATTACCTCCTGAGGGCATCATCCAAACATTCAACATCATTTTTAACCCTCGGAAATAATTTTTAATAACAATTAACTCATTAATTGCCATTAGAAACTTTTTCTTTTCTTTAATTTCTCGAAATTTGCAAAAATCGTAATTCAGAAAATAGCGGGAAAGGAGTGTGGGTGGGCTCATTGGACGGTCGGGGACATTTCCGGTTCAAAACACGGGTCATGAACCCATTTTGCCCCGTTGGTTGTTGAAATACAGAAAAAAATCATTTTTACCTCGATTTTTTTTTTTTTTCAATTTTACGGGGAGGACTGGAGCAAAATGAATGATTTGGCTTCATTATCTCCTCAGGGCATTATCCCGATATTCAGCAGAATTTTTAATTTAATTAATTATCATTAAAAAAGATTTTTTTTCTTTAATTTCTCGAAGTTTGCAAAAATCGTAATTCAAAAAATAGCGGGAAAGGGGTAGGGGTGGGCTCATTGGAGGGTCGGGGACATTTTCGGTTCAAAACACGGGTCATGAACCCATTTTGCCCCATTGGTTGTTGAAATACAGAAAAAAATCATTTTGGCCTCGAATTTTAGTTGTTTTTTTCAATTTTACGGGGAGGACTGGGGCAAAATGAATGATTTGGCTTGATTATCTCCTCAGGGCATTATTCCAACATTCAACATAATTTTTAATTGAATTAATTATCATTAAAAACTTTTTTTTTTCAATTTCTCGAAATTTGTAAAAATTGATTCAAAAAATTGCGGTAAAGGGGAGGGGGTGGGCTTATTGGACGGTCGGGAAAATTTCCATTTCAAAACACTGGTCATGAACCCATTTTGCCCCGTTAATTGTTAAAATATGGAAAGAAATCGTTTTGGGCTAGAATTTCTAATTTTTAAAATTTTGAGGAAAGGACTGGGGCAAAACGGATTCATGACCAGTGTTTTAAATCGGCAATTTTCTTGACTTTGGGATGAAGAAATGAGAAAATTGCTAGTTCGTCACGTTTAGGACTTAGGGGGCTGGGTTTTCAGAGGAATTTTCGAATTTTTCGGGGCTTTACCTTGATCCGATGACAGTTGATTGGATGGCGGCAGAACTGGCTTCACCACAAGTCCAGTTATATTTCCGGTCGTCTGATTGTTCAACAATAGATTTCCCGTGTGATTTGCCTGAATAAATCCAAATATTTAATAGCAAAAGAAAAATCAACAAAAATTCAGAATTTTCTTTTGTGAATTAGAGGAAAATTTTCAATACCGGTAGTGTGAGATTCCCGCTGCCAGCAGTCTTCTTCGCTTTCTTTCGAGGTGGACGATTTGTTGAATTACCTAAAAATTCATGACAATTTTCGTCTAACATTCGGCGATTTGCAATCTCTCTATTTTTTCGTTCTTATGGAAAAATTGAAAAAAAAAAAAAACGAAAATTTCCGCTGAAAAACTCTTGTCGAGCCCATTTTGCCCCGTTAATTCACAAGCCACAGGGAAAAACTTGAAGGTAAATTTGCTCTTCCAATTGCTCGGTAACTACTGGGGCAGAATGGGCCGTTATGCTGCGTTTTCAATCGGATATTTCCCTGGCTCTCGAATGAGACTTGTTCAAATTTTCAATTGTCTCGAAAGATTGATTATAAAAAAAAAGCGGAAAATTGATTTTGTCACAACACGGTCAATATGTTTGCTAATAAATTAGCAATTTGCTTCCGAATGGAATTTCTATGAGGATGTATTGTAAATGGAGTTCAATGATTCATTTAATTTAATATTGTCCCAACGTTGTCCCAACATTGCCCCAACGTTGGTAGCCAACATTCCCCCAATGTTGGTAGCCAACATTGACCTAACGTTGGCAGCCACCATTTCCCCAACATTAGCAGCCAACATCGACCCAACGTTGGCAACCAACATTGACCCAACGTTGACATCCAACATTGTCTCAACGTTGAGAGCCACCATTTCCCCAATATTGGCAGTCAACACTGTCCCAACGTTAGTAGCCAACGTTGACCCAACGTTAACCATCAACATTGCCTCAACGTTGGTAGCCAACATTGCCCTAACGCTGACAGTCAACATTGTCCCAACATTGACAGCCAACATTTCCCCAACATTAGCAGCCAACGTTGACCCAACGTTGACAACCAACATTTCCCCAACGTTGGCAATCAACATTTCCCCAATGTTGGGGCAATGTTGGCAGCCAACATTAACCCAACGTTGGCAGCCAACATTGTCCCAACGTTAGTAACCAACATTGACCCAACGTTGGCAACCAACATTGACCCAACGTTGGCAGCCAACATAACCCCAACATTAATTTTTTTTTACCCTTCTCCCTCATCGCCTGAAAATGAAAATTTCAAGGCTAAAACGAACTTTGACAAATCCAACGCCTCCATTCGAAAGCAAAAATACTGAACAATACGTTGAAACATTTCTTACCGATGTTAACCAATGTACCTTCATTGAAACCTTAAATTAGGGACTAATTGGAGTGCATAATGTGTCAGAGGATACCAGTCAAACTAACAAATACCTGAAGAAAGACATAATTAAAAAAAAAAAGAGCCATGTATTTACTGATAGATTTTATTCATATACTTATATTATAATTGTATCACTGTGTACAACAATGTTTTTTTTTGCTTTTTTTCATTTAATTTAAATATCTCAATCATATGATCTCCACTATTTCTCACCCCACTTGGACTTTCATATCTCATGATTCACTGCTTTCATTATTTTTTTTTTCATTTTCATTTCTTTTATATTAATTAAAAAATCTTTCGCAAAACAACATCTCTCATTTCACTCTACATTAATTAATTATAATTCCTTTCCAATCGTTAAATTAATTGCGCCCCAATTGCGCAATAAATTACAATGATTTTCATTATTTTTCCCCACTCGAGCACACATAGTCATTCGTCATTTTCATTATTCTATCGTTTATCATTTTTATCATTTTCTTTCACAAAGATTCATTCCCAACGAAAGAATAAAACATCTCTCGTATTATTTTTCTCTCTCTAGTTATGTTTTATCATTAGTTATTTAGTTATTCTTTATTTATGGTAAATTAGGGTAAATTAAAACTCGAATAATTTTACGATTAGTTCGAGGGAAATTGTCGGGGTTGGGGATCATTTTTTCGGGGGGAGAAAAAAAAATCATTCGTCGTAGCACAAAATGTGAGATCGGTCGTGAATGGCTCGGCATCGGGGGGTGGGCCATTGCTCATCGGATGGCCTGGGAAATTTCCGATCCAAAACTCTCGTCGTGAAACCCTTTTGCCCCGTTAGGTTTTTTCAATCAGCTCAAAAACGGTTTTTCCCACGAAAATTTCATCTTCAAATTTTGCATCATCCACCGGGGCAAAACGGGTTCATGACCAGGGGTTTGGATCGGAAATTTTCCCGGCTTTCGAGTGAGACTGATCCCATGCCTCTACGTTAATTAGTCGTTGAGATATCGTGAAGTTAATGAATTTGATGGGGTTTTAACGAGACTCGAGCCACTCAATATTCATATGAAAATATCAATAAATTGAAAATCCGAGGGGAAATTCGGTTTCCATTCCCGTGTTCCTCCATAATCGCATTAAAAATTATTCAATTCAATCTTAATCTATTATTAATACTTAATGATACATTAGCGTTATTATAATTTTTTTCCCATCTCTGTTTAATCTCGAAGTATTTACAAAACGCGTTGCGATGAAAAAAAAAGGAGTGAACAGAAACCAGAATTTAATTTGTTTATAAATTAATTAATGAGTTAATTATCCGGAAAACTAGCTGTCTATTCTTACTGTGGAGTGTGGATTCTACTATTCGACATCGTTCGATGAATTTTTCATGAATAATTCGAAGTTCAGAAGAAAAAAGGTGAAAAATATCCGATTTTTCAGACTTTTTTCGCGTAATTTTCATCATTAAACAAATAAAAATTATTTCTTGGAAATTATTCATCGGAGATGTTTCATAATTGAGGAAGAATGGAAGTTGAAAATTGGTGGAAATTTTCGGAAGGCAATACGAATGGTTTTTGTTAATATTAAATGCCCTATATGGTTTTAATAATCTAATTGCTAGGAGAAAACGAAATCTCATATTTTTGGGAATATCTCTGGAACTATTGGTCCCACGAGAAAATGTCATTAGTCCTTTTTCGCAGAGAATTCAATTCTCCGCAAATAATGTCTTGTGGCATTTTCCCGTAGACCCACTCATTACCGAGATAATTAGACGATTATGAGAAAAAAAATCAATTTCACTCGAAAATCTCGGTGCAAATAATCCAAACTCATATCTAATGTCCAAAAAAACGTCCTCACGTACGCAAAAATTAATAATCACCCTGAATAAACTCAAAGCCCGTGCTACCCCATCAACTCTACAAATCAATGCCTGATCCTTTTAGTTTGTTTCACCACAATTTTATTACTTTTAATTATTCACTTTTTTCATATAAATCCTTAAATGACGTAATTTATAATCTCCTTAAAAATCGACGAACACATTCTGACCGAGCTTTGATCGACCAGAATTGGTACTAATATTAAATTCATTCATTTTACATTGTTTATAATTTTTTTTTCTTTTTCCTTCAATCAATTAATTTTCTTTCAATCAAATCATCGGATTTGGCGATTAAATTCTTTAAGTACGCTGTTGTGAGTGCATTAAACAATATTTAATTGTACTCGAGTGCAATTATGATTTTCACCCTTGATTAATAATCTTTATATCATTTTTCATTGTTAAACAATAGACTGTCGATTTTGTCAATTTTTTTTCGTGATTTATCAAGTGAAAAATTCCATTATCCCTCGTAATTAATAAACCGTTAGCAAATTGGTTCATGAAACTAATTTCGTCATAAACCCGGGAAAATTTTCGATCCAAAACCCTGGTTATAAACCCATTTTGCCCCGATACTTCCTCAAATACCTAAAAAAACTTTTTTGCGTGCGAAAAACTGATTTTTTGGATTTTGGGAGAAGTACCGGGGCAGAATGGGTTGATGACCACTATTTGGAACCGGAAATATCCCGGGCTATCCAACGAAACCATTTCCGCTTCCACCTAATGGACAGCTTTCGAGGAAATAGAAAAAAAGGAATTTTCACTCCATGTGATCACGAAAAGAGAGGAGGAGGCAAAATGGACATGTTTAAATCTTCAATATCGTTCGATCGAATGGTGTAATTTCAATGAATTATTCCTCATTTTGAGGAAATTTTTCCAGGCTTCAAAATGAAAAAAAAAATCATCAAATTTCACTCAGCCAAAGTCAAGTTATTGACGATTCAACATTGTCGATGCAATAACAAGTCTACCGGGGATAATACGAAGTCTACCGAGTGTCTCATGCACTGAAAAAACGAATATACCACGTAAAAATGAAAATAACAAATCTACCGCTGATCACTTCAACCCTAAATTCCAGACGAAATGGTAGCATCCCTACCCAGCGACAAGTCTACCGCAATGTCGTACGCTTTAGCAACTCTACCCACACCCAAATCTACCGGGCGTCAGCTCTACCAACGATGCCCATTTCTCGACAAAAAATTGGGAACGGGCATAATTGGTAGAGTTGACGTCCGGTAGAGCTGACCACTGGTAGATGCGTACGTTGGTAGACTTGTTACCGCGCAGGTCATGGCGGTAGCCTCGCCGCTGGGTAGAGATGTGACAACCTCCCCCAGCTGCTTTATCTACAAATCGGTAGAGCTCACGTCCGGCACAGTCGCGATATCTAAGGAATTTAGGGTAGCCATGACCTTTGGTAGACACGTTATTTCCATTTTCGGTAGATGTGTCACCATAATGTTGCTATCTACCGGTTCGACTAAAGCTTTAGCCCTCAGAAATGAAAACAACAAGTCTACCGTTGATCATTTCAACCCTAAATTCCTCAGCCATGCCAACTCTACCGAGCGTTACTTCCATCAATTCTCAGATAAATCAGTCAGACGAAATCGTAACATCTCTACCCAGCGACAAGTCTACCACCATATCCTGCGCGTTAACAACTCTACCGGCAATCACCTACCGGGTGTCAGCTCTACCAACGATGCCCATTCCTCGAAAAAAAATTGAGAACGGGCATAACTGGTAGAGTTGACGTCCGGTAGAGCTGACCATTGGTAGATGCGTATGTCGGTAGAGCTGTTAACGCGCAGGCCATGGCGGTAGCCTCGCCGCTGCGTAGAGATGTTACAGCCTCCCTCGACTATTTTATCTACAAATCGGTAGAGCTCACGTCCGATAGACTCACAATGTCTAAGGAATTTAAGGTAGCCATGACCTTTGGTAGACATCCTACTTCCATTTTCGTGTAATAAGTTTGTTCAAGTTGACATTCGGTAGATTTGTCAATCGGAGACTTGTCCCGGATAAAATAGTCATTGCACCAAAAACGGTCCATCACACCCCTCCCCCCAAACTAATAATCAAATTAACTTCATTACCGTGCCAATTAATCAAGCACCTTATCTGAATTGCGTCCATAATTCTCCTTATATTACTTCTCTATATATATATATATATATATATATATATTTGTATAGTAAATTAATTAATTAAATTTACATGATATTCTCAACAAAACTCGTCATATGGAGCAGACATTTACACATAGAAATATAAAAACAGAGAGAATTAAAGGGGAGGAAAAAAAAATATTTATCATTGTTCATTAGACCCTATAACTAATTGTCTCTCGAAAAATCGCGTATAAAAGACTTCTAAAACGTTTGTTTATCTTCAGTAATTAATTTATTTGTTAATTAGGACGAGTGTTCATTCATTTCAGATAAAAAAAAAATATATAATCAAAAAAATCCCACTGAATTTGTTCAATTAATCATCAATAAACAATCACCAGGTGACAAACATCCTCAGTAATCAACAATTGAGTCGTTAATGATTCGGAATTAATTAATTACTAGAACAATTCGTTCCCTTTGGCATGTAAAACCACACCGATTAATCAATTGCAATTGATCATATTAACTCCAATTAAATATAATTAATCGACAATTTTCTTTGTTTTTACGAAGAGTTGTAAAATTACAATAAATCATTTAATTGCGGATAAATAAACAAAGGATAATTAATGATTATTGACAATTAACTGATGATTTAATCACCGGAGAAAAGCTTAGCGGAGTGCAAACAATGTGTTTGGAGGCCAGTTTCGCCTTTATTCATTATTGTTAATTAATAACCAATTATTTAATTTCATTTAACACCTTGATTTGATTATTTATTCATGAGTTTCCTTATCGTCGTACCTCAAGCGTCGTTAATTATTCTTCTTTAGTTATATTTTCGGTATATTTCGTTATTTTTTGGTTGATTTTGTCAATTTCCTGAGTATCGATTTTCAACTTTCGGTTGGGTTGGAGTGAATGGGATTTTATTGGACAGTTGGGGGTATTTGAGGGTTAAAATATTGGTCAGAAGCTTTTGGTTCAACCGGTAGATTGTAGCATCGTAATGATAAATCTACCGAATGTCGATAAATACGCATTTACCACGTAAAAATGGAAATAACAAGTCTACCGGAGATCATGTCTACCTTAAATTCCTTAGATATTGCGATTCTACCGGGCGTGAACTCTACCGACTTGTAGATAAAACAGTCGAGGGAGGTTGTAAAATCTCTACCCAGCGGCGAGACTACCGCCATGGCCTGCGCGTTACCAACTCTACCGACGTACACATCTACAAGTGGTCAACTCTACCGGACTTCAACTCTACCAATTATGCCCGTTCTCAATTTTTTTTCGAGGAATGGGCATCGTTGGTAGAGCTGGCGCCCGGTAGAGGTGATTGCCGGTAGATCTGGGTGTCGGTAGAGTTGTTGACGCGCAGGATATGGTGGTAGACTTGTCGCTGGGTAGAGATGTTACGATTTCGTCTGACTGATTTATCTGGGAATTAATGGAGGTTACGCTTGGTAGAGTTGGCATGGCTGAGGAATTTAAGGTTCAAGTGATTTTCGGTAAACTTGTGGTTTTCATTTTTGAGGGCTAAAGCTCTTGTCGAACCGGTAGATATCAACATTATTGTGACAAATCTACCGAATGTCGACTTGAACGAATTTACCACGTGAAAATGGAAATAAAATGTCTACCGGAGATCATGTCTACCTTAAATTCCTTAGATATTGCGATTCTACCGAGCGTGAACTTTACCGATTTGTAGATAAAACAGTCGAGGGAGGTTGTAACATCTCCACCCAGCGGCGAGACTACCCCCATGGCCTGCGCGTTAACACTCTACCGACGTACGCATCTACCAGTGGTCAACTCTACCGGACGTCAACTGTACCAATTATGCCCGTTCTCAATTTTTTTTTCGACAAATGGGCATCGTTGGTAGAGTTGGCGCCCAGTAGAGGTGATTGCCGATAGATCTGGGTGTCGGTAGAGTTGTTGACGCGCAGGATATGGTGGTAGACTTGTCGCTGGGTAGAGATATTACGATTTCGTCTGACTGATTTATCTGGGAATTAGTAGAGGTAACGCTCGGTAGAGTTGGCATGGCTGAGGAATTTAAGGTTCAAGTGATCTTCGGTAGACTTGTTGTTTTCATTTCTGAGGGCTAAAGCTCTTGTCGAACCGGTAGATATCAACATTATGGTGACACATCTACTGAATATCGATTTAAACGAATTTACCACGTGAAGGGAAATAACAAGTCTACCGGAAGTCATGACTACCCTCAATTCCTTCGGCATTCTTGGTAGAGCTGACGGCCGGTCGAGGTGATTACCGGTAGATTTGGATATGAGTATAGTTATTAACACTCAAGACATCGCGGTAGACTTGTCACTGGGTAGAGTTTAATGATCAAAACGAGCTTCTGACCAGTGTTTCAAAGCGGAAATAATCCCAACCCTCCAATGAAATCCTCTCCATTCCTCTCCATTAATCTTTCTCACAAAGTTATCGTCCTACTTCTGGTATTTTTCATTGGGCAAAATGCACTAGCCATTAAAATTCTCCCAATTCGATGCAACAAAAAATTAATTTTCAATAAATTAATTTTTGATCATTATTGGCTGAGAAAAATTATCCTTTAAAATTTACAATTTATGCTACAATGCGCCTAATTCAATGAAAAAATATCCAGCCACCATACACATTGTCTGCATTTTTATAAACATTTTGTTTTAATTAAAAAAAATAGAAATATCCCGATTGATTCATGATTTCTAATGAAAAAAATGTATAATTGGGGGACTGGGCAGTCCTGTGCGCTCGAGTCGTCCCACTCCTATCACGTGGTATCAGCTGATTCCGCCATTTTGGCATTGGAAAATTTTTTTACGATAAGAAAATCAACTAAATTCGTAGTTTCTTCCTATTAATGCCATTCAATTAATCTGGTAATCGATTAATTAAATCCTCAATTTAATCCACTCACTCTCGTACTCTCCCCCCTCTCCTACCCTCCCCCCACCACCTCACTCACGCATAAATTTTCTTTTTTCATTATCGCAAAATTAACCAAAAAATGATAAGTAAATGAGTGAAACGATTGCGAGAGATTTTTCAATTTCATAGAAATTAATTTTCGTCATTTTGTCGCCATTGGCCGCCATTTTCCTCGGGCTCGTGCCCATGGACAAAATGGCCGACATCTTGTTGAGATGATAGATGCCAAAAAATGTAAATAAAAATTCGATATTCATCGAATTTTCCATGTGATTTATTCGTGTTCATGCAAAAAACGACAAAAGGAATCAATGAATTATTCTTAATTTTCGTTAATTAATTTCGTTATTAACTTTTGATTATTAATGAATACTTATTCATTAATTAAACAAAGCTGGTATATGGCGTATGGTATCCTCTAAACACAGTCTGCACTCCACTAGCTCACCTGCTCATTATTATTTTTTTCTTGTGATTGTTATCATTTTTTTTCCCTTCATTTTCCATAAAAATAAAACAAGAAAAAAAAATTGGCTATAATTACTTAAATTAATTTGATTGTTCAATTGAGAATTGAGTGTCCAGTCATTATATATTACGTATTATACACATTGGATTCACCAATGGGATATAAACATTTACACATTGCTTGATTAAACAATCGTTTATAATTAGTTGATTGATTGGTTATTTTCAATTTAATTATTTTCTTCAATTTACAATTGCTTTTTTTTTGTGATGTATGAGTTTCAGGGAGGACTGGACATTTAATTTCCACTTGAAGATGGACTTTTGTTGGTCATTAACGTCTGGGAAACGTTAATTAGTCATTAACACCGTCCTAATGAGTTATTTATATATAATTTTTTTGTTTTTTTCTTCTCTAATGAAGTATTTCTTTTTTGTTCATTTGGGGTGAATTGAAGGCATTTGCGATAATATTTTGTGCTTGAAGTTATAACAATTTTCTTTTGTTCAACCTCTTTCACAATTGTTAATTAACCACTCAATTAATTAATTAGTGGCTGTTGATTGATTTTTGAGCTCAAGAGAAAATCATATGTACAATTTATCGAGAAGAGATGTGAAATATTCAGGTGTCAAATTAATAAATTAAATGATTAATCAACTCATTAATTAATGAGTGAAAAACAACTCAAGAATGACTTAATTAATTAATTGACAAAACCCAAAAAATTAAAAAAAAAATTTTTCAATTTAATTATCAAAAGACTAGAATTTTCCCCTCATTTTGAATGTTATGAACTCAAAAAATGGATGAAATTCACCGAAATTATTATTTTACAATTGAAATTGTCAAAGAACGAAAAATATATCGTTTAAAAAATTCGTATTGACGCATTATTCATCGTTTAATAAGCATGAATGGCTTAATTATCGCAAATAGTGCCCAACAAACAATCGAAATTGCATAAGAAAAAATTGTCAGTTCGTATTTAATACTGGAGACATTCATTTCAATTGGCAAAAACAAGTGCCTCCACTGTTGTTCCCAGTCAGGGTTGATTTATCATTCATTTGCTTGTGATTATTGCAACAGTTGGGTTTTTTTTTTATGAGGTAATTATCTAACCTGCTTCACTGTCGCTCGAATCGCTGGAGCTCGATGATAGTGAACTACTGCTGGAATCACTGTCACTGCTGCTACTGCTTGATGCTGAAAGCCGGGATGGACCACTCGCACCACCTGGACCAACCACGTCCACTGATTTACTGCTGTCCTCTGTTGAATTGATGAAATAAAAGTGTTTGAGTTTTATTATTGATTTTTTTTTCTGGATTTTTTCAATTTTTGGAACCGAAATTCAGAAGAATTGATGATTTTTGTTGTTAATGGATTTTTTATCGTTATAAAAATAAATTTTTGTTGCAAAAGTCATGTTTTTTGTTAATTTATTTCGTTTTCCTGCATTAAGGGACACTTTCAAGACATTGTTTTTGTGAATTGAATTATCTCCAAAAAATTTTTAGGTTTTTTTTTCTAAAATTGTTAATGACAGAGATAATCACAAAAATAATAGTTGATTGTCTTTAAACTAGTTGGTTTGAGATAAAATGTCGTCAGAAGTTTTTTGTAGCTTCAAAAATTTCATACAAAACGAGACTTCTGATAATTTTTTCCCAATTAGTTCACTTCAATTAACAAATTAAATAAGAATAATGATTTTTGCATTTAAGGATATCCAAGTACTTTGGCTATTTTTCCTCAAGGGAAATGATTTTCTACTTTTGTCGAACATCAGAGCCTTCATTTGAATTCCATTTGACCCTAAGTTTCCGGAAATTTTACAATGATTTTATTATTTAAAATTTGCAGCTCTGAATTTGAATCTCAATATTGAACCGTTAGAAAACGTTTTAAAAATCTGAAAAAAATTAGAAAGTTGAATTTTGGAGGGAGATTAATGAAATAATTTATAAACAATCAATTTTCCACGTTAAAAACTGTTTGAAATTCAGAATTTACCCAGAAACCGATTTCATGTCTAAAAACACAAATTTTCCGAAAGTTTAAACAATTTCAATTATTTATTCATAACCACCGAATGTTTAAAAAACTAATTCTGTGCAAAATGTCATTTTAATGACGCAAAATATTCATAATTTTTTCCAATTTCCCTCCCGCAATTGAATTAACAAATTTGATGATTATCCTGGTAAAACAGTCCGATTATTTCCGACTGGGTGATAAAAAATGAATCGGCGTTAACGATGTTTCTGTCTTTGCCCGTTAAATTCCGATTGGCTGGTGGTAGAGTTTGGAGTTTGAGAAAATAATAAGAATTAATGGGAACAAGGGTACGTGGCCGTTATCGTCCGATTACTTTCCAAAAAATTGGTTGATAGATCTCACACTACGCATATAAATATTTAAATGAGCAATAAATATTAAAGATTTATATGAGCAAAATGAGATACACACCCATACCCTTGATCCTACTAATTCTCATAATTTTTTTAAACTCCAAACTCTACCTACCAGCCAATCGGAATTTAACGGGCAAAGACAGAAACATCACTAACGTCGATTCATTTTTCATCACCCAGTCGGAGATAATCGGACTGTTTTACCAGGGTAAAAATTATTGAATTAATAATGTAAAAATCTTACCTTTCTTAGGTGCCTTCTTAACATTCCCCAGTTGTCCAGTGACATCCTGCAGCCTCTTCTCAAGCTCCTGCTTCTTCTCAGCCATCTGCTCATCCTTGCTCTTTCCACTCAACTTCTTATGAATTTTCTTCCTCAAGCAGGAAGCCACATAGCTCTCCAACTCCCTCAGCGTCGACGGCTTGAGCGTCTCAAAGTCAATCTCGATTTCATCAGGATTCGAGTCCCTGAGCGATGGCTCCCTCGACTGAATAATATGCACAACCCTCCCCAACTTGTCGCCAGGCAATTTATTAATATCCAGTGACAGCTGTCTCTTCTCATCGTAAGACATTGGCTTAGCATTGTCCTCGTCCTCAGAGTCAAAAGCTATTGGTGGTGGTTGACTTGTTGCATTTTTCTTCTTTGTACCAGCCGATCTGCTATTTGTTTTTGGTCTCTTCTGAGTTGCATTCTGGGCAGCTGCCTTACCTGGACCTCTGCTCTTTGTTTTAGTCTGCTTGGCACTTGCTGCTGCTGTTGCATGTGCCTTACCACCACCTGCTGACATTCCTTGATGATGATCAGGCACAACCATACCTACATTAACAGCCATACCTGATGGTAGTTTAAGATCACCACCACCCATTGCAACACTTGCTATACTGGCATTGACACTGTCTGTTACGTTTGCCATTCCAACATTGGGCTTCATCAATTTTTCCATGGCACCACTGTGACTACCCATGCTTGGGGCACGATTCAGGGATTTTGGTTTCGTCTTCTCTGGCTTCTTTTTCTTACCCTTCTTACGGTCTGACTCTTCTACGAGCTTCTCTATCTGTCCGGATATTGCTTTAAGCTGGGGACAAATGGTTTATTCGTTGTAAATATTGTCATGACTGGATTTTATTTGATTTAAAAACTAGTTACTGAGATAATTTCATGCAATTTGCATTTAATTACAATTGAAAACATCACATTTCATCAGTTTACTGATTGACTTTAATATAATGTAAACAAATTCTGGTAAAAAAAAAAGTGTAAAGGGTCTCTAGCTGAGGACAGAAGGTTTATTCGTGATAAATATATTGTCATGACTGTATTTTATTTAATTAAAAAAAACTAGTTAACGAGATAATTTCGTGCAATTTGAGTTTAATTACAATTGAAAACATCAATTTCATCAGTTTACTGATTCACTTTAAATTTAAGAATTAATCTTAGTCTTCTCATTTTGTCTATTTGTGGTCAACATAAAAAAATTCTAGTCAAAACAAGTGTAAAGGGTCTCAAATTGATTCGTATAATGAAGATTTCAGCCAACTTAAGGAATAAAATGACCTGTTTTAAAAAAAAAAGATTTTACCTCTTTCTGAAGTGCAACTAGCCTCTCTCTTCTCTCAGCCTCAGAATCATCAGTCTCTGACGACGAATCAGACCCTGAACTGCTGCCACTACTGCTGCTACCCTTCATCGCCATCATCCTGCCCATGGGCTCGTCAGGGACCTTGGCAAATCTGTAATAATAATCAAAATATTTTTCCTTCAGTCGAGAAAGTCCAGTGGAAATTTTGCATGATGAGGGGATTAGAGATGTCCAACCTCATCTCGAAAACATCCTGGAGCTTCTTGGCCATCGCCACGACATCGTGATCAGGTGGATTGTACTTGTAACAATTTGTGAAGATGAGTCTGACATCGCCAGCAAATTCTTGAGCTGTTTTGTACTCTCTGCTGTCCATTTTCGTCTTCACACTGCCCAAGTCCATCGGTTTCTTTATGATGTCATGGTAATCGTGGAGACCTAGTAGCTCGGCGTCAACTGGCTTGTAAAATGGCCACGCATAGCCCTAGGTGAAAGGGAAAAAATTCAATTATTAAATTAATTATCAGGAATTCGTCAAGTGTTCTATTTTCACTTGAAGCATTTTCTCGACTGGTATTCGTCGATTATTTCGGTAACGAGTGGGTTTAGAGAAAAATGTAAGGAGACATCTTTTGTGGCGAATTTAATTTCCCACAAAAAAGATCTGATGGCATTTTGGCGTAAATCCACTCGTTTTCGAGATAATTCCGAAAATAGTAATCACAGATTTTGATCGTTTTTTTTAAGTTTTCTATTAATTCTAGGTGATTACCGAGTGCTTCTTTGAAAAAAGCTCCTTGAGGATTTCGTTGCAGGACTTCAGTGCCTCCGAGAGCTTCTCCTTCGACTTTCCACTCGCGTGTTGAGGCTAGAATCATTTTCCCGATTAATTTCAATGATGAGAATAAAATAGAGCGAGAAAGAAGGGAAGATAGATCAGCTTCAACGTTGAATAACTCTGGAACTGCAGAGTCGATTCCCAAAAATTTGAACTCATTTTAAAGCGGACTTAAATCCCTTCAAAATGCGCGCAGACTCACCCAATTCGGATCGTTTTTCCAGAAGCTATTCAACATTTACTAAAGTCTGTTTTTTTTATAAAGAAGAAAAAGAAAGAATTTTTCAAGTTTTTGAATTGAATTCTGCTGTTTAAACTTTAGAATTTGTTTTAACAATTGAAAAAAAGATGACGAGACATCACAGATGAAGTGGCGAGATAGATGTTTGATCGAGTGAAATCAAATAAACAGAGAGGATGGATTTTTCTTTTCGAGTGAGGGAAAGCAATTCGATTCGATTGAAATGTTGGATTATTTGATTCAACTCAATCACAGATATGTTTGATGATAAATATTATGTGTACCTGTTGGGCCATTGCTCCCATGAGGGGCATGTTGGCCTGATGGAATGGCACAAGGCCGTCTTCCGCTTGCCTCGATGGCTGAAACAGCCCCATCATCAACCCCTCTGTTAGTATGTTAATGCAAATGACGTGATTATACATGCAAACCAACGACTATTACAACGATAAACTGTGACGATGAAAAAAAAAAATTTCATCATCAAATATTTAATATTCAAATTTATATTGTGGGACATTAATGAGTGATATCAACTTTATAATGGATTTTTGCATTAATAGTATATTTCAGCACATGTGGGGCAATATCGTCTTTAACGTGTGTGGGGTTTACAGCATGAGCCGAAGGTGAGTGATGTAACCACACACGTTAAGGACGAAATGTCCCAACAAGTACTGAACAAAATTTTATGTCACGAAGCCTGAAATCGGCTGAATTAGACACGAGACGCGAAGCGTCGAGTGTGTAATCCAGCCGGTTTCAGGCATGAGTGGCGTAAAAAATTTTAATTCGGATTTTAAAAAACACTTGGATTTGAAAATAATAAAAAACGAGTTTTTAGAGGATTTTTCGGTCTGAAAAAAATTAATTTAGATGAATTTCTGAAATTTTAATGAAAAAAAAAAATCATTTTAAAAATGAGAATGTCTTTCACTCCTATAAAACCCATATAAATGATCAAATAAATGATTAAAAATATACGAAAATCTCAATTTTCGTCAACTTCTACACTAAAAATTATTTTTCTATCCTTCTCTGACTCCGTAAAAGAGGCAAATATATTTATTACATAAAAAAAAAATCCCAAAAGACCCAAAAAAAATTCGAGACTGCTACAAAATCTCCAAAATCCTGTAAATAATTTTGAAGAATAAAATAGCTATATGGGAACCCCTCTCGCCCCTTAGTTTCGTAAAAACATTGAGGAATGAATAAATACGATCATACCACTAAAATAAATCCCCAGGCTATTGCCAAACTCCTTGAAATAATTTCAAAAGACACAAAATAAAAAAATAATTCCCATTTCTCGCCTCCTTCCTACCCCCTTACCTTCCTGATCTCTCAACGTTACCCTAAAAAACATCTCTACTTGATATTCACTTCCAACAATTGATCAAATACCCCAACTAATCCAAAATGAGTTCCCAGAAGAGTAGAAAAAATCCCCAAACGATTCCCAAATCTCCAAAACTTTAAGAATAATACAAATAAAAACTGAATAAATCCATCAATCCCCCAACACTTCCACAAAATCTTAAAAATACCATCCAAAAACACAAAAATAATGAAAAAAATCACGACTTCAATTAATTTCCACCTGTAACATCTCAACTCGATATTCACCCCCAAAAATGCTCAAATACCCCAACTAATCCAAAATGGGTTCCCAAAAGAGTAGAAAAAATCCCCAAATGATTCCCAAATCTCCAAAACTTTAAGAATAATACAAATAAAAACTGAATAAATCCATCAATCCCCCAACAATTCGATAAAATTCTAAAAATACGATCCAAAAACACCAAAATGATGAAAAAAATCACGACTTCAATTAATCCCCACCCTGAACAACATCTCAACTCGATATTCACCCCCAAAAATGATCAAATACCCCAACTAATTCAAAATGAGTTCCCAGAAGAGTAGAAAAAATCCCCAAATGATTCCCAAATCTCCAAAACTTTAAAAATAATACAAATAAAAACTGAATAAATCCATCAATTCCCCAACAATTCGATAAAATCCTAAAAATACGATCCAAAAACACCAAAATGATGAAAAAAATCACGACTTCAATTAATCCCCACCTGTAACATCTCACCTCAATATTCACCCCCAAAAAATGCTCAAACACCCCAATAAATTAACCCCTCACGTACGGGGTCGACGCTATGCCATCGACCCGTGAAAATATGAATGACTCTTTAAAATTGATTATTTAATCGCCATTAAATTTTACTTGTATCGAGCGTACTCCACGCTTGGAAACAAAAGGGCCCCGCCCACGAGGGGTTAAAAAAATCCCCAAACACTTTCCAAATCTCCAAAATCACCGTCAAATAAAATAAAAAAACTCCCGAAAAACCACTAGAATGCTAAACTGCTAGCCCTTACCTTCTTGATCTGTCTCCCAGACTCCCTCCTCGTTGGTATTTTAGCAATTTTCGAGTCCATCGGTGGATACATAGGTTCAAACGAATTAGCAGTGGGTGTAGTTGTATCCGCCTTTCTCTTAACCCCTTTTTTGAGTTTAGCTGGTTGAGATGGTGGCAGAACAGTGGGTGCTGCTGCTACCTGAGGTGTCGGTTGTACTGGTGGTGTTGGTGGTTCAATGGCCGGTTGTGCATGATAACCAGTGGCTGGTGGTACAACTTGTTGGGGTAAAGAGTTGTGTGTTGCCATTGGTATAACACTTATAGTCAGTGGTGGAGCTATTGTCGTGGTATTGGTGCTACCAGGAACAGTTGGTGGTGCTTGGGTGCCAATTGGGGGCATTGGTACAGCGCCAGTTGTGCCTGTTGTTGTGGCCGTTGGTGGGAGACTGTTGGGCACACTTGAGGATACTGTCGCTGCACCTGACGATGGACGACCTCTACCAACACCTGCCACTGGACCTGGCACTGCTCCCGGCGCTGGGGGGCCTGGCAGGGGCGCCACACGACCCACTTTCTTCCCTTTTGGACCTTTTGTCACTGGTGCCTCTAGCTCCATCTCCTCTCGGGGCATTTGTGCTACCTGGGAAGGGGGAAATGCATTTTTGGGAGACGTTGACGTTGATGTTTTTTGAGGGAAGTGCATGTGGGGGAGATAATTAGTCAATTAAGGCCCGGGTGTACTATCTTTCGAATGTTATCTGGATTTTTTTCATCTTTCGTAATCCAAAATTGTCAATTGAGTGCTACATTATGTAGAAATTCCCAAAAATTATGATAGAATGATTAAAAAAATTGAAAAAATTCTGAACTTTTTCAAAGAGCGGTTTAAATGAGATTCTGAATGAGTTGAAAAAAGTGGAAATTACAAATATCTGATTCGCTGTGGCAAATTATCTATTAGCTGTCAGTTTCCATGGTGGATAACAAAACACTAACTCCTCATGGGAAGTGACAGCTAGGTATCTCAATTTTCAAAACAGTGGTATGTAGTCATCTGCCATTTTTATGTGATAAAAGTGTGATTAAAAAATTCTCCAAAATATTACAACTTTTTTCAAAGAGCCTTTTCCGTAATAAATGTCTCTGTGCAGTGTGGGAAAAGATTTACGAAATTAGTCTTCCCCCTGGATGATATTGGGTGACAGGCCGCCATTTGTCACCGTAAATCAGATACATTTTTCAATTTCTTATTATTCAACTTATTCTGAATATAAATTAGAAATGGTCTTTGAAAAAATTAAGAATTTTTTCTACTATTTTTTGATTATTCATTCACAATTTTTGAAAACTTCTGCATGATGCAGGACTTAATTGACAATTTCAGATGACGAAGGATGAAAAAAAACATCGAGATAACGTTCGAAAGATAGTACACCCGGGCCTTAATGAGGAATTTTAAGTATCAAGTCAAAAACTTTATTGTTTTCTCATAGTTTAGGGAAAATTGGGGAAGATTTTTTTGTGAAAATTTAATTGTCGAGAAAAGAGAAGAAACTAATAAGTGAGGACTAACTGTGATATTCGACTTTACGAAATTAAAATAGAGTTCAAATTAAATTAAAATATGAACTTGGAAGAAATTTTATATAATTGACGTTTTTTAGTCATTGAGGGCATACATAAGTGTAAAACAAAGAAAACGTTTGTAAGATCAACGAGATGAATACATAAATAATAATTTTCTAGAAAAATGTATTTGGACTTTATTTTTATAAAACCACTTCTGGGGGAGATGATTAATGAATTAATGATAAAAGTTGAAGGTTCACAAGCCCAATGATTTTTTTATCTCGATAATGGGAGGGTTTAGATGAAAATGAGAAAAGAATTTGTTTTCTTTTGAAAATTGAATTAATGAAGAATGTTCAATCTCAAGTCAAAAACTTCATTATTTTTCAATTGTTTAGAGAAAATTTCCAAAGTTATTTTTTGTTGGGAATTTAACTCTCTAGAAAAATGAATTTTGATATTTTATCTAAAATCACGCGTGGAAGAGATAATTAATAAATTAATAATGAAAGTTGAAGCTTTACATGTCCAATTATTTTTCTCATCTTGATAATGAGAAAGTTTATATAAAAAATTATAAATGATTTTTTTTTTAACTGAATTAATGAAGAATGTTCATTTTCAAGTCAAAAACTTCATCATTTTTCAATTGTTTAGAAGAAACTGCTCAGGATATTTTTTGTTGGGAATTTAACTCCCCAGAAAAATGAATTTTTATATTTTGTCTAAAATCACTCGTGGGGAAGGTAATTAATAAATTAATAATGAAAGTTGAAGCTTCACATGTCCAATTATTTTCTCATCCTGATAATGAGAAAGTTTATATAAAAAATTATAAATGATTTTTTAAAAATTGAATTAATGGAGAATGTTCATTTTTCATGTTAAAAACTTCGTAATTGTCTCATTGTTTATAAACAATTCCTCAATATATTTTTTTCTCAGAATTTAATTCTCTAAAAAAATCTTCGTATTCTAAAACTACTCCTGAACGAGACAATTGCCGATTTTAAACTATAAATTGAAGACGAAAATGTGAAAAAAACTCGTCCAATTCTCTAATCAAATTCCCCGAAGGGCCTCACAAATAATTTCGTTCGCCCTCCCTATCAATTAAAATCCATCAATATTAAGGGTGCCAAGTGAATTTGAAAAAAGATTCAAAAAAAAAATTTTTCTTTCCCTCCATCATTGGAGAAATATGTATTCATCCATCCGACGAAATTTCAAACCCGCAACCGGAACTAGACATCGAGAAAATAAATGCGGAAAATCCTCTATTTCGCGTGACGAACCTCGAGAAAGCATGGGATCAAATGGGTACGGCGGGTTGAATTATCTCTCTTATTCATCCCGGTACCCCATTGTTTTTTGTCGCCATCACATTGAATACACCATTCCCCATATCTTCAAATTTTTTCAAATTTTTCTTGAGTTCCTAGGGGGTGGAAACGTTCAATTTAATCAAAACTCCACAAGAGGCCGTGTATAAGACTGATTTTGTTTATTTAATTTCTCGATATCCATAAGTTCTAAAATTTAAAAATTGTCACCGATGTTCACCATCTGTCTAATACTATTAATTAAAAAAATTATAACTTTGTTGGTGAATGTCAATTTTCAAGGTCATCGCCAAATTCACTTGGCACCCTTAATTCACAAATAACAAAAAAATAATTAAAAAATAATCTTACCTTCGTTAGAAACAGTTTCTCGAGTGCTTGTGCCATAACAACAACATCCTCCCCCGGTTTGTTGTAAACATAACAATTTCTGAACATTGTATTGAAGTCCTGGATAGCCTCTCGCGCTGACCAGTAGTACGTATTCTCCAGGCGTTTCTTTATCGTTCCCAGATCCATCGGTTGCTTTATTATCTTGTGATAATCCGGTAGATTGAGTTTTTTCGCGTCCACCGGCTGCTGAAAGGGCCAGGCAAACTGGTGCTTCCATACTGGTTTTAGGACAGCTTTCTGGAGGAACTGAAGTTGATTTGTCACTCTTCCTGGCCTCGTGGGTGGTGGTACCACAGGTGGCTGGACAATGCCATTGACCGGCTCGACTGTCGGCTCATCGCGGGGCGGTGGAGTCTTCGCAGGTACAAATTTTGCTCCTGTCGTTGTGCCAGGGGCGCTTGTCTGATTAAAAATAAAACGAATTTTCTCTAAATTCACGTTAATTCACGTCCAGTGGATCAACAACTTCATGATTGACTTGTGTCCAGTTGAAAATTTATTTATTTCGATTTACGAGTTTTGATTTACGGTAATTTTTACTTATTTGCCCTAGTTTTTTTTTTACTTTTACATTTTTTAAGACGAACGTACACTGAGAGAAAAACGGCAAAGTTCTCAAACGAGTCTTACTTGTGCCAAGAGAATAGTTTTTTATCAAAATGATTTTTTTGTGTCAAACATGCAAGGAGTGCGCGGGAATGAAAAATTTTTGTCGCAAAAATAGATTTAGTAGTTGAAAAAAAATTGCATTCTCTGTAGACGCAAGAAATGTCATTTCTAGCACTACTCCTTCGTTATTCGATACTCCCACACGTATTTTGCTCCCGAAAAATCTTTGTTTTATGCGCAACAAGGGATAGTAGTTTTTTGTTTCGGCTGGCTAATAATCACAGACAAGAAATGAACCCTTAAATGAAACAATAATAATGATATGATAGCAATCTTGTAACTTGGGGATAAAATATTTGTTGATAAATTTCCCTCTATGAGATATTTTCATCCTGAAAGGGCACCGTCTGGTGTGAATTATCCGCCTCTTGAGACAAATATTTCGTTGCTGTCGAAAGCAGAACAATTATTCATGTTTGAGACTTTCAAATTCGAACCAAACAAATTCTTTTTTGGCAATTTTCAACTAGCGATTTTGTTGGCCCAAAAAGACTTGTTTGACAACGTGTCCGTTTTTCTCTCAGTGTAGTGTTATCCTCACCCCTTTGGAGCATCTTTTCATTTTCCTAATCATTCGAATTGTTCACAAAAATGTGTTTGGATATATTTTTTTTAAGAATTCTGGGGGAAACAATTAGTAAATTAATGAGGAATTTCAATTCTCAAGTCGAAAACTTCATCGTTTTCTAACAGTTGAGAGAAAATTGCTAAAGATTTTTTTTTGGGGGAATTTAATTGTCTAAAAAAAAGAAGAAACTAATAAATGTCCAGTTGAAAATTCATTTATTTCGATTTACGTTAATTTTCATTTATTAATCCTAGTTTTTTTTACTTTTGTATTTTTTAACACGAATTTAGTGTTATCCTCACGCTATTGTAACAACTTATTTAATTTTCTTAATCATTTTGATTATCGACTCAATTCATTTCATTTCAGTGGGGGATTTATTTGCAATGAATGAATAATTTCATATTTTGGGGAAGATTTCGTAGATTACAAGATAATTTGCTTCTGAAATCGACCGTTAATGAGATAATTACGTAATTAAGCCTTCTTAAGGGTCTTTAACCTCACTCGGAGATGAAAGACCTCTATTTATTATTCTATGACTAATTATTTGTTTTATTATCTTGGTAATGAGGTGATTTAGGAGGAAATGTCATAAAACATTTTTTGTAGGAAAACTTGTAAACTGCATAAAATGTCTAGAGACATTTTTTACTAGAACTACTCATTGATAAAATAATTCCGCTTTTTGAAGTCTTTTTTTGTAAACAACATCTTTAAAAAAAATCTGTCTGTTAATTACGTAATTACCTGGGTAATGAGGTATTTAACGACGAAATGTCTGAAGACATTTTTTTAAGGCTATAAAATTCTCCACATAAAGTGTATGCTGACATTTTTCGCTGAATTAAATAGTTTCAAAGATATTGACGTTTGAAAATCGACACAACTTTGATAATTTTACACTTCACCACGGGATGATTGCTGAATCATCTCGATTATGAATATTTTGAGAAAAGTTTTTGGTAGAATATTTTATAAACTACAAAAAAGGTATAGAGACATTTTTAGCTGGAACTACTCATCAACAAGATAATCAAACGTTTATAAAACTGTTGCATTGCAAAAAACATTTTGGAAAAAAACTGTCTTATTTAATAAAAAAATGTTCATTATTACCCAGAAAAATTATTGACTTGAATCATATAAAATCTTCGAATAAACAAATGTTTTTTATTCAAAAAATTTTTTCAAAAACTGTTCGATTGTAAAAAACGTGTTGAAAAAACAATCTGTCTTTGTTAATTACGTAACTATCTAATTAATGAGGTATTTTACGCCAAAACGTCTGGAGATATTTTTTTAAGGCTATAAAATTCTCCACATAAAGTGTATTCTGACATTTTTGGCTAAATTAAATAGTTTCAAAGCTATTGACGTTTGAAAATCGTCTCTTCCCGTTGGAATATCGATTTCGTAAATATTTGAAGAAGTTGTGTACTTGTCATGATTTATTTATAGTTCTTTAGAAGAGCGTTTCTCTCGAGTCGTAAAAGTTTAACTATTTTAGTGGACAAAGCAAACATTGTCGTTGAATTTTTAAGCTGAGGGACCATAAATTCGAGAGTTGTTGGGGATTTGAGTCTTACCTTCGGTATATTACACAGCCTTTCGCGCTCCTCCACGTCTAACTGCAATTGCAATGGATAAACAACAACATATTAATTATCTTTTGAATCCACGAAAGGGTTAAAACAGTCAATGGAATTTATAGAGGTTAAAGAATAATTCTTACGGAGTTGTTCTGCGAATTGGTGTCCACCTGCTGCTGCATGGTTGCTTCGTTTCTGTAAATAAATGGAGGATACAATTCCCTTAGGATTTTAAACAAATCGTCGATCGTTCACTGAATAGATAATTAAAAGTGGAAATTTCACGTTTTACTTCAGGATTTCATCATTCGTTAATTGATTAATTGTTTAAATAACGCGACGTTTGGGAGGAAAATTGCAGAGATATTTGTGGAGTTCCTCAGCCACAAGAAGTTTCTGTGGCCATTTTCCTCGGAAGGTATTAATTATTGAGATAATTTAAAAATTAAGAATGGCAAAATCCCAAATTTCTCTGGAATATTTTATCCCTTGACAATTCCTCAATTATCTTGCGAAGGATTGAACTGAGAGAAAAATGTTACGGGAAACTTTTGCAGAGAATTTGATTCTCCCCAAAAAATGTCCAGTGACATTCAGTCACAAGTCCACTCGTTAACGAGATAATTGGATATTTAACAGGAGTGGACAATTACCGAAAACTACCAATTTCGCTCGACTGATTTTGACAGTTGCTTATTCGTTAATTATCTCGATTATGAGTGGATTTAGAGAAAAATTGTTAATGAACATTTTTTTAGAGAATCAAATTGTCTACAAAAAACGTCCCATGGCATTCAGTCGTAAGTCCACGCATTAACGAGATATTAACGAAAAACTGTCAAAGATCATTGGAAAATTTATCAATAACACGAACGGTTTTCAATCATCAATAGCTCTGAATCGGCAGAGTGAAATGCAACAATTTTTTTCTCATTTCCAAGGTATTTTTACGGACTTTACAATGAGATCTGACTCGCTGAAATCGCTTCGTTGGGTCGGAAGATATTGATGATTGAAGGCGATACATTAAATCTCATCCTCAAATAATTGATCTGATGGTGAAAAAATAAGAAAATCGTGGGATGTGATTTACCTTTCCGACATAAATGGTACATAAATGCAATGTAGCAGTTAACTGCCTTACGTTGATGCTCAATGCTACGAGGCTTCATCAACAATTGAGGTGACAATGATACAATTGATCATTGTTGTACATGAAAATTCCTTTACGAAGACACTTCTACCAATTCTTGACGATCACGTTGAGGCATAACAGCAAGTAATAGCCTACCAGAAGGTAGTTACTTGATATGTCAGCCCTGGAAACCAACGGTTAACCCCAGTACTCCACCCGCAATTCGAGATAGAAACATCTGCATAAACAAAATTATTCAAAATTTAAGATTGCAGGTAATAAAATAAAAAGTGTTATTTCTATCATCAGAAATTATTCAACAAAACATCATAAATTGAACTGATATTGATAATTGAATTGATAATCACCCCCATCAAAAAATAAAGCTAATTATTTCAATCATCAGAAATTATTTACGAAAATATTTCAACAAAAAATCATAATTCGACTCAATTAAAATCAAAACTTGAATTCTTAAAATTAATGAGTTTATAATAGAGAGTAAAGCCGTGAAATTTCATGTTAAAAATATGAAATCACTGAATGTAATGATTAAATATTGATGATGAGCTTTTGGCGCCAAAAAATATAACTATTCTCTGAACGATTTTCTGTGTTTTTTGGAGTAAAAAAATTGTTTTCAACAATTTTTCTTCGTTTACATTTCACAAATAAATAAAACGATGAAAGTTGAAGCAATTTCTGACTGAGAAATCATCACTAATGAACATAATAGAATAAAAACTGATTAAAACTAAATTTTAGGTGGCAAAATATTGATCACGTGGCAGTAAAAGTTCCCCAGTGTCTCGCAAAAATGTACAACCTCATGAAAAATTCCACACGACTGACAGCCTCCCCTCCCCCAACCGTCATTTAGGCGCCAAAAATGATGTTTACGTGTCAGAGTGCCCCTAGCCCCTAAAAACCCTCTCCAACCCCTAGAAACCTCAAAAACACCTGAGAAGACCTCCCAAAATCCTAGACAACTTTCCTCCCCCCGAAACCGATTTCAAAAACTCCAACTTTATTTTCCTCTTCTGGAAACCCCCTAAAAAAAATCTCAGACCCCCTAGAAATCGCCTCTGCGGATTCCCCTGTTCCCCTCGCCCCTGAAACCCCAAAAACCACCTTCACAAGTAGGTCCCCAAAGTAGGCCAAGCAAGATCCACTCTCCCGCGATCAATCCCCATCGCCTGCAGTAGTCCCCCTTGGCACCCCCTGAACCCCCCTAGACCACCTGCACCCCTAAAAACCCTCGCCAAACCCCCTAAAACCCTCCCAAATCCCGAAAACCAGAGAAACGCCGCCCAAACCTCCACGAGGAGTCCCCCAACACATCACCTCAGGGTCAGACCCCCAGTCCCCTAACCCCCTCGCTACTATAAAAACTCCCTCACCCACCCCTAGCCCCCGAAAAATCCTCTAAACCCACATCAACACCCTCAGCACTTCCAGCACGCATCCCCCACCCAAATGACCCTTTCCTCCGTCGTTTAGGCGCCAAAAATGATGTTTACGTATCAGAGTGCCCCTGGCCCCTAAAACCACTCTCCAACCCCTAGAAACCTCAAACACACCTGAGAAGACCTCCCAAAATCCTGGACAACTTCCCTCCCCCCGAACCGATCTAAAAAATTCAAACTCCATTTTCCTCCTCTCAAAACCCCCCAAAAAAAATCTCAGACCCCCTAGAAATCGCCTCTACGGATTTCCCTGTTCCCCTCACCCCTGAAACCCCAAAAACCACCTTCACAAGTAGGTCCCCAAAGTAGGCCAAGCACGATCCACTCTCCCGCGATCAATCCCCATCGCCTGCAGTAGTCCCCCTTGGGACCCCCTGAACCCCCCTAGACCACCTGCACCCCTAAAAACCCTCGCCAAACCCCCTAAAACCCTCCCAAATCCCGAACACCAGAGAAACGCCGCCCAAACCTCCACGAGGAGTCCCCCAACACATCACCTCAGGGTCAGACCCCCAGTCCCCTAACCCCCTCGCTACTATAAAAACTCCCTCACCCACCCCTAGCCCCCGAAAAATCCTCTAAACCCACATCAACACCCTCAGCACTTCCAGCACGCATCCCCCACCCAAATGACCCTTTCCTCCGTCGTTTAGGCGCCAAAAATGATGTTTACGTATCAGAGTGCCCCTGGCCCCTAAAACCACTCTCCAACCCCTAGAAACCTCAAACACACCTGAGAAGACCTCCCAAAATCCTGGACAACTTCCCTCCCCCCGAACCGATCTAAAAAATTCAAACTCCATTTTCCTCCTCTCAAAACCCCCCAAAAAAAATCTCAGACCCCCTAGAAATCGCCTCTACGGATTTCCCTGTTCCCCTCACCCCTGAAACCCCAAAAACCACCTTCACAAGTAGGTCCCCAAAGTAGGCCAAGCACGATCCACTCTCCCGCGATCAATCCCCATCGCCTGCAGTAGTCCCCCTTGGGACCCCCTGAACCCCCCTAGACCACCTGCACCCCTAAAAACCCTCGCCAAACCCCCTAAAACCCTCCCAAATCCCGAACACCAGAGAAACGCCGCCCAAACCTCCACGAGGAGTCCCCCAACACATCACCTCAGGGTCAGACCCCCAGTCCCCTAACCCCCTCGCTACTATAAAAACTCCCTCACCCACCCCTAGCCCCCGAAAAATCCTCTAAACCCACATCAACACCCTCAGCACTTCCAGCACGCATCCCCCACCCAAATGACCCTTTCCTCCGTCGTTTAGGCGCCAAAAATGATGTTTACGTATCAGAGTGCCCCTGGCCCCTAAAACCACTCTCCAACCCCTAGAAACCTCAAACACACCTGAGAAGACCTCCCAAAATCCTGGACAACTTCCCTCCCCCCGAACCGATCTAAAAAATTCAAACTCCATTTTCCTCCTCTCAAAACCCCCCAAAAAAAATCTCAGACCCCCTAGAAATCGCCTCTACGGATTTCCCTGTTCCCCTCACCCCTGAAACCCCAAAAACCACCTTCACAAGTAGGTCCCCAAAGTAGGCCAAGCACGATCCACTCTCCCGCGATCAATCCCCATCGCCTGCAGTAGTCCCCCTTGGGACCCCCTGAACCCCCCTAGACCACCTGCACCCCTAAAAACCCTCGCCAAACCCCCTAAAACCCTCCCAAATCCCGAACACCAGAGAAACGCCGCCCAAACCTCCACGAGGAGTCCCCCAACACATCACCTCAGGGTCAGACCCCCAGTCCCCTAACCCCCTCGCTACTATAAAAACTCCCTCACCCACCCCTAGCCCCCGAAAAATCCTCTAAACCCACATCAACACCCTCAGCACTTCCAGCACGCATCCCCCACCCAAATGACCCTTTCCTCCGTCGTTTAGGCGCCAAAAATGATGTTTACGTATCAGAGTGCCCCTGGCCCCTAAAACCACTCTCCAACCCCTAGAAACCTCAAACACACCTGAGAAGACCTCCCAAAATCCTGGACAACTTCCCTCCCCCCGAACCGATCTAAAAAATTCAAACTCCATTTTCCTCCTCTCAAAACCCCCCAAAAAAAATCTCAGACCCCCTAGAAATCGCCTCTACGGATTTCCCTGTTCCCCTCACCCCTGAAACCCCAAAAACCACCTTCACAAGTAGGTCCCCAAAGTAGGCCAAGCACGATCCACTCTCCCGCGATCAATCCCCATCGCCTGCAGTAGTCCCCCTTGGGACCCCCTGAACCCCCCTAGACCACCTGCACCCCTAAAAACCCTCGCCAAACCCCCTAAAACCCTCCCAAATCCCGAACACCAGAGAAACGCCGCCCAAACCTCCACGAGGAGTCCCCCAACACATCACCTCAGGGTCAGACCCCCAGTCCCCTAACCCCCTCGCTACTATAAAAACTCCCTCACCCACCCCTAGCCCCCGAAAAATCCTCTAAACCCACATCAACACCCTCAGCACTTCCAGCACGCATCCCCCACCCAAATGACCCTTTCCTCCGTCGTTTAGGCGCCAAAAATGATGTTTACGTATCAGAGTGCCCCTGGCCCCTAAAACCACTCTCCAACCCCTAGAAACCTCAAACACACCTGAGAAGACCTCCCAAAATCCTGGACAACTTCCCTCCTCCCGAACCAATCGAAAAAATTCAAACTCCATTTTCCTCCCCTCAAAACCCCAAAAAAAAAATCTCAGACCCCCTAGAAATCGCCTCTGCGGATTCCCCTGTTCCCCTCACCCCTGAAACCCCAAAAACCACCTTCACACGTAGGTCCCCAAAGTAGGCCAAGCACGATCCACTCTCCCGCGATCAATCCCCATCGCCTGCAGTAGTCCCCCATGGGACCCCCTGAACCCCCCTAGACCACCAGCACCCCTAAAAACCCTCTCCAAACCCCCTAAAACCCTCCCAAATCCCGAACACCAGAGAAACGCCGCCCAAACCTCCACGAGGAGTCCCCCAACACATCACCTCAGGGTCAGACCCCCAGTCCCCTAACCCCCTCGCCCCTACAAACACTCCCTCACGCACCCCTAACCCCCCTAGACCCCCACACCCCTAAAAAATCCCTTCAGAAACCCCCGAAAAATCCTCTAAACCCACATCAACACCTCCAGCACTCCGAGCACGTATCACCCGCACCCACATCCCTCCACCGTCCCTTCCTCGTCCCCTTGTGCCCCCCCTGGCCCCTATAAAAACATTCCCGGTGCCCCTGGGGCCCCCCTAGATCCCGAAAACACCAGGAAAAACCCAGAAAAAACGGAAAACCCCTCGAAAACGTAAAATTCCACTCACAGACACACAATTAGGCATCGCCATTCATTCAACATGGCGGTGCTCCCACCGAAGAAAGCTCCCAAGGGCCCCCCCTCCCTGCCCCCTGCCCCACCAGTCAAATACTAAAGTGAGAAACCAACTTGATTCTTACCTGCTTAAAAATCCCATTAAAAACTCCAAAAATCAGTCGTGCACACAGTATTTATCAATAAAAAATTTCACAAATTCACTGGCTATTGTTGGACACACACACGCACTAACGCCTTAACGCCGATAATTCCACAAGCGCTTTCTCCCTTGATGAGTTTGGTTGGTCCGTTTGGGTATTATGGCCGACCCCGAAGTTGTTTCTCCCACCGTTTGTCACTACCACTCACTTTTACGAATGCGTCTGTCTCACTCGATAAACGCCGTGGTAACGTTCAGTTCAACTTAACACGACGCGCGGGGTTTTAACGAATTCAGGGGACACTTGTTCTTCATTATTGGAAAGGGTTTCGACGGATTTTCTCGGGGAATCGGTGTGGGGAACGGGATTTTTTCCACTCGGGGGGATCGTTTTTTTTTCGATGAGTATTTTTCACACCGTCCGAGCGAGAAGGTAACGATCGCTTCGGGTATCCAACAATGGCTACGAGATTCTGTTCCAGTGTTTCTTGGGTTCAGGGCGCCAGACACGGACACACACTAAGTAGGGTGTGCCACTACTCCTTGATTTTATACTGCGGCGGGAGGGGGGAGCGCCGACTGGGCGAGACGGGATTGGCTGCAGTGGGGAGCCCTGGGGGAAATAAATATTTTGAGTTTCGGTTTTTTGTATTTTGTTTTTATTTTTTCTGTTGCGGGGTTTACAGTTTTTTTAATGAAAATAGGGGGTTTTTTAGTTTTCCATCTGCGACTGTTGGTGGGGATTTTTTTGAATTTCTTTTATTGCAGATTTAAATATTTTTGGAAATTGGGGCACGGGGTTTTTTAATTATTGGAAGAGGGTCTTATTTGTTTCTGAATAAATGCGATTTTTTTTCGATTCTATATTTGTTTGGGGGTGAATTGGCGGCGGTTCCTGTTGATGGGGATTTTTTTTATTGCAGATTAGAACAGTTTTTGGAAATAGGGGGTCATAATGAGAGGTGGCGACGACTGCTGATGTTGATGGGTTTTCTTTTTCGGTTAATAAAGGATTTTTGTTTTTTTTTCAAGTTCACAACAGAAATGGGAATTGTTTATTTTTATTTTTCTTGTTTTATTCCGCTGCTTATTGTTTATTTTTAATTGGAAGGAAGGGTTTTTTTCAAGGTCAAATTCGAGATCGCAAAGTAGAAGTGGGGGGCCAACCAATGACATCACTGGGATCCAATCCCAGGATCCAATCAAATCACTCGGAACGAAGCGATAGCGGGGGGAGGGGGGGTCAACCAATGAGATCACTGGGTTTTTTGATCTCATTGGTTGGCCCCCCCACTATCGCTTCGTTCCGAGTGATCTGATTGGTTGTCCCCGCAAGAGTCGTTAGTTTAGAGAGCACTTGGGGGCTCCAGCATCTACGTTGCGACCTCGAATGTAGGCCTTCCTGTAGAAACTTTTCCTCCGTTTTCAGGAGTGGGAGACACGGATACAAATGGAAATCACGGGAGAGGGGGTACCCACCGAAGGAAAATTTTATACTGGAAGACCTAGAGGCAGTCGCTGCTTCTGTTTATGGCGATAGAATTTTGAATTTTTTTTGGGGTCTTTTTGAAGTTCTGAAAGGCGATGGAGGTTGTTTATTTTTGATTGAAGGGGGAAAGTTTTTTTAGGACCAATGGGTAGCGGCGACTTCTATTGATGTTGATAAGATTTTTTTTTATTGTTGTCAGTAATGGATTTTTGGCGGTTTTTTTTTGAGTTTTTGAAAGGTTTTTTGGGGTTTGTAAACAGGGAGAGGTTCTTTATTTTTTATTGGAGGAGAGGGTTTTTTTAGGACCAATAGGCAGTAGCGACTTCTGTTAATGTTGATGAAAATTTTAATTGCTGTTCATAACTAATTTTTGGGGAATTTTTTGGAGTTCTCGGAGGCATTTTTGGGGTTCGAAAACAAGGAGAGGTTTTTCATTTTTTAAATATTTTTTTAGGACCAATAGGGAGCCGCGTCATCTCTCGAGTTGATGGGGATTTTTTTTACCTTTGGGTCTTTTTACCTTTGGGTTTTTTTACCTGGGTTTTAGGGGATTTTTTGGAGTTTTCGGGGACATTTTTGGGGTTCGAAAACAAGGAGAGATTTTTCATTTTTTTTGCGGATTTTTTTTAGGACCAATAGGAAGCCGCGGCATCTCTCGAGTTGATGGGGATTTTTTTTGTCAATAATGGATTTTTGGGGAATTTTTTGGAGTTTTTGGAGGCATTTTTGGAGTTCGAAAAAAGGGGCAAGTGGTTTATGTTTCATTGAAGGAGAAATTTTTTTTTCATTTCAAGGCTCAATAGGCGGTAGTGCCTTCTGCTAATGTTGATGGATATTTTTTTTTCAGAATTTTTCAGAGATTTTGGGGGATTCTTCTCGTTCGGGATAATTTTTTTAGAAGTTCGCGCGTTTTTTGGCGGATCGTGAGGGACGGGAGTGGGGATACGATTCGGTTCCAGTTGTTCCTCGACATCTACCCGAGATGCACTGCGAGATGACGTAGCCACTGATGCAATTGATAAACAAACAATGATTAGCAAAAATTCAGTGGGAAAATTGTTTTATTATTTTTTGAACCCTCGGAAAATTGTTTTGAGGGATTTCCCGAGGAATTTTCGGATTTTCCCCGCCTTTTTGGACGTCGCGTCACCCCGGGTTCCGCCATGCTGGCAAAATGGCGCCGGCGGGAGGGGGGCGATGGGATTTTTGGGATTGAATTCCCGGAAAATGGAAAATCCGGGATTTTCGGGGGAATTCTGCGCGAAATTTTTTTTCAACGAATTTTTCACTCAATGGGGCCCTCGAGGTGACTCGGACCCGCCCACGAGGTGCCACGGAGATGCGACTACGTGTCAAGACGGCGTATCGATTGCGGAGAAAATACGTGAGTCAAATTGAAAATTAATTTGCAATTGAGGAAATTCTTGCTGATAATTTTGGGGGTGCGGATTGAGAGATGATTGTGATAATTCGAGGCACTAATTGTCACTGGATATTTTCACGGGTTTTCGGGGGGCTTTTCCGAGCACTTGGAGATGCCTGGGGCGTCACTCGTGGCGAATATGGCGGACTTTCACGAAGCACTTGGAGTGGATTATTTTTACGACACTTTTTGGATTTTTTTGGGAGGCGTTGGGGGGCCTTGGGGGGTGATTTCGACCGGATTTGACGGGGCGATCGGGATTTTTGGGGTCGAGAGGGGGTGGGAGGCCGTCAAAGAGAGTTTTTTCGGGATTTCTGGGGATTTGATTATTGGGAGGTATTGAAGGCGAATGCTCTGGACGCTTTATCAAGGCGGGTTTGTAAGTTGGCGTTGGGAGGGGGCGTTGAGGAAGCTCGAGAAGGTGGCGGGAGGTTTAAAGCGAGGTTTGAGATCCAGTTGAGCCACCAGGAACTTAAATGAATTCAATAATTGTTGATGAGAGTGGAGATTGATAATGTAGTTGAACTCCGTTGAAAATACAGCTGGATGAAGCATAAAATCACGGGGATGAGAGGCACACAGACTTTGTGCATCGATAATGATGACAATTGCTCTCGATCTTGTCTCTAGCTCTCCTCATCGAACACTGACTCATTCCCAAACTCTCTCATCTCAGCATACTCTAATTACTTTCTTCGTTACCTAGCACTCTCTCCCTCGCAGCTACACTCATTCTCCATACTCTTTGTCAGCCACAATAATCTCTTGCATTCCGTCACCCAGGCCACACGCATCACCCAAAATCTCCATCTAGCATAAACATTATTATTTTACAAACAGTCACTCGCTCCAAACACTTGTCATATCACACCTCAGTTCCATAAACTCAATCTCAAACCTATTGTCTCTATTTGGTCTTTCTGATCTGATTCATTGCCTTTTTTGCCTCACACATGCAGTCACTCACGTATCGCACTCTTTTCTCTTTCATTTCTTCATGCCCTTATTTCATTGATTATTCAGGAAAATTTATAATCTTATGTTGAATGTGAAATTATCCTGGTAATGAGGGCCTTCAGAAGAGAATGTTGAGAGACATTCTTTGTTGGGAATTAAATTCTCTACAAAAAGGGTCTCATTCTCATATTTCTTCCTAAAATCACCTGTTAACGAGTGAGATTGAATATATAGACTCATATCATTCATATAAAATGACTAATTATTCATTTTATTCCCAGATAAATTTCATTTTTGTATCAATTGAATTTTTTTGTATCAATTGAATCGACTAATGAATTTTCCAAGTCTTTGATTATTGCCTTTTTGCCTTACACATGCAGTCATTCACGTATTGCACTTTTTTCTCTTTCATTTCTTCATGCCCTTATTTCATTGATAATTCAGGAAAATTTATAATCTTATGTTAAATGTGAAATTATCCTGGTAATGAGGGGTTTCAGAAGAAACGTTAACGTCATTGCAAAAATAATATCATTTTTTATATTTTCTATTTAACTAGTATCACCCTTTCGCAAATGGAATCGAATAATCTTTATATTTATATTATAAAGAAGATAAGGAATTACCCAGTAACTTTAATAAAACATAATATTTATTCATTTTCCTAGGATTGTACAGCTAGACCACTCGTTCTCTCCTCTTTCCTCCTGACTTTTCTTTGTAAAACAGGTATCAAGAATAATATGAGACCGCTGACAGCGATCATGACTCCGGCACCAACGAAACCGGGTTGGTAGGAACCTAGTCCGTCTTTGAGCCATCCTGAAACATAAAAATGAAACTGATTAAGTCCTATCTAGTCCCTCACTAAATGAACATTCCGTGTTCATCAAATTTGTCAATTAAATTGCGTGAGAAAAAATTGTTGGCATTTGAAGAATTTGAAAATACCGGGTTTTTTTTCAGCGACTACTTCACGTGACTCATTGACCAATCAAAATTGAGGATTAGCGGTCAAGCAGTTTCGAGATATTTCGATATAAAACAACTTCACGTTTCGTTCATCTTTAGTAAATAGGAAATAGGAATATAATGTAGATAATAAAACAAGGAGGGCGCCGAGCTTTCGACTGAAGAGATATGATTGTTTCTCTATGCGTTGTTAGTCTTTTTATCTTCCATCTCTACCAATTTCATTGGTAGTAAACTTCCGGATGGATCCGTTGCAATTCTATTTTTAAAAAATAATAAGAAGATGGAAATTCTATTTTGTAGTGAATAAAAAATTTCAGTTTTTGTAAGACGCAAATTCTCCAATTTTCTCAATTTCCAAGTAAAACAAGAGGAAATTTCGTGCCAAACTTCAGATTAATATGTGCCCGGTGGCCTGGCGTAGTGGTTAAGGCCGTTGCCTCACAACGGATAGGTTCCAGGTTCGATTCCTGGCCGGGTAGAATGGTGAGATCTAACCATTTTTAAAGTCTTGATCAATCGCCATATAGTCTCATCAGACTCGAAGCGATATAAAATAAGCATAAAAAAAAAAAAAAAAGATTAATATGTCAATTTTTTCCAAAGTTAGAGTGCAAAAACGGATTTTTAGCGAAAAACCGAAAAATAGAAATATCTCGAAAACTTTGTATGAACGGGTATAGATATTTTGATAGATTGCGATAGAAGACATCAAGATGAGTATTTTGGAAAAAAAAATTGAAATCGGTTGAGTAGTTTTTGAGATATTCAAGAATATAGATTTGGATACAAAGTCGAATATCTCCTAAACTATCCATTCGATTTAGCCCATCTTCAATACCAAATATGTTAGTGCCAAGAGGAAACTTTGTACCAAATTTCAAGTTAATATGTCAATTTTTAGGAAAACTAGAGTGCTAACAAAAGTTTTCAGCGAAAAACCGAAAAATAGAAATATCTCGAAAACTTTGTACGAACGGGTATACATATTTTGATAGATTGCGATAGAAGACATCAAGACGAGTATTTTGAAAAGAAAAAAATTAAAATCGGTTGGATAGTTTTCGGGATATTTGCAAAAAACGATTTAAAAGCAAATGATGATTTCTCAAAAATAGCTGAACCGATTCAGCTGAACTTTAGCACAGACTTAGTCCTCATTAATACCCATAAACTCACAAAATTTCAAATTTTTTGGAATTAGTTTAGCCCTTTGTTCGTTTAATTTTCTAAAAGTTGACCATCAAGTGGACCAAGTTTACCACGCGCCCATACATAAATGGTCCTCAAACTTCGTATTTTTACGTTTCAGTCCATTCTACATAGTACTAGTTTATTTTCCATGTATACCCTCTCGGGTTTTTACATTTTTTTCCCATCCCTCTCCCCTTTCAGTCCATTCTACATAATTTCCAGGCAAAATTAGAGAACCGAAAAACCGAATGATTTCAAAGCTTCCATTCGGAAGCAAAAGAATAAACTGATAAAAATAAACTGATAACAATAATAACATACATTGAGTATGCGATATTGTGTTGTATAACATATACCATTATATATGCCTAATGTATTATAATATAGAATAGCGGAGGTTGGGGTAAAATGGACACTTTTGACTTTTTAAAAAATGTTAATGACAGATTGAAATGGTGATGAAATTTAATAATTTTTTTTTTCAATGCAAACAACAATTGTTGCCCTTTATGATAAGTCTAAACTGAGCTCCATTGATAAATTTGTTTCTGAATTATGAGTAATTTAAAAAAAGTCCAAGGTGTCTATTTTACCCCACCCGCCCCTAGTATAGAATATAATATAATATGTGGGCGTCCACATGAAAAGGGCCCACTTTGACGGTATTGGAGTTATGTATGTTCCGATAATCTTGATCAGATTTCTCACATTTTGAGCCCAAAATCAACTCGATAGAATGAAAACTGACGTCAGTATCGACGATCAAAAATACAATTTAACATTGGTTTAAATGGGAGATGTGGCGAGAAAAACGTGAATATCTCGGAAACTAGATGCGACAAAGTGGGCCCTTTTCACGTGGACGTACACATATAGTATTATCGTAATACCTTTAATGTATGTTATCATCATTTATAAAAAACCTAATGACACAATACGCTGAATAGATTGGCTCCAAAAAACGTTACACTGGATTTTTTATTAGAGAGAATATGACGTGAAAGTAGTTTCATCGATTCCCCCGTAAATTACCTGCAATTGGGGGGCCCAGGAGCGACGCGAACCCTTGAAACAGTAACAAAAGGCCAAATGCATTAGTCAGAAGGTCCAGCCCCAGCAAGTCGACTAGAATCACAGACGTCAGTCCCACGTAGGCACCAGCCGTGAATCCGTACACAGAGGCATAAATTACGAACCAAGTGTACGAGGGACAAAAGGCTCCTAATACTGTTGCTGAAAACCAATACGTCGAAATTCATTAATCCCAGGTACGGGGCGGAGTGCGACCGGAGGTCTCGGGGGTGGGGCACTCACCAACGCCACAAATGGTCAGGCAGATATTGTAGACAACTAGGCGATTGATCCAGGACTTGTCTGAGACGTAACCCAGGACTATGCGTCCGACAGTGTTGGCTATACCTATTACTGATAGCAGGTATGAGGCTGATTCCCTTGATATTTGCACTCCTTCAGCTAAACCCTGGGGGCAATTAAAAAATTCAGTCATTTGGGGGCGTCCAGGTGTCTTACGATTTGGTGCAGATAACACTGTACAGTGGACATTGGGAGAAAAACGAAAAAATTCTCAAACAAGTCTTACTTGTGCCGAGAAAATAGATTCTTGAAAATTATCAAAAAAGGATTTTTTGTGCCAAACATGCAGAGAGTGCGCCGGAATGAAAAATTTTTCTCGCAAAAATAGATTTAGTAGTTGAAAAAAATTGCACTCTCTGTAGACGCAAGAAATGTCATTTCTAAAAATCTTTGTTTTATGCGGAACAAGGGATAGTAGTTTTTCGTTTCGGCTGTCTAATAATCACAGACAAGAAATGAACCCTTAAATGAAACAATAATAATGATATGATAGCAATCTTGTAACTTGGGGATAAAATATTTGTTGATAAATTGCCCTCTATGAGATATTTTCATCCTGAAAGGGCACCGTCTGGTGTGAATTATCCGCCTCTTGAGACAAATATTTCGTTGCTGTCGAAAGCAGAACAATTATTCATGTTTGAGACTTTCAAATTCGAACCAAACAAATTCTTTTTTGGCAATTTTCAACTAGCGATTTTGTTGGCCCAAACAAGACTTGTTTGACAACGTGTTCGTTTTTCTCTCAGTGTAGTGTTATCCTCACCTCTTTGGAGCATCTTATTTCATTTTGCTAGTCATTTGAATTGTTCACAAAAATGTATTTGGATATATTTTTTAAAGAATTCTGGGGGAAATAATTAGTAAATTAATGAGGAATGTTAATTCTCAAGTCAAAAACTTCATCGTTTTCTAATAGTTGAGAGAAAATTGCTCACGATTTTTTTTTGTGGGAATTTAATTGTCTAAAAAAAAGAAGAAACTAATAAATGTCCATTTGAAAATTCATTTTTTTCGATTTTTTTTCGACTTTTTTTTTCGAAAATCCGTTATTATGAGCATCTAGGAATAGAAAAAAAAATACTAGAAATACTCGTATAGGTAGTAAAAAATGAAAAATTTTGACGCTTAATAAATCAAAATCGGAGCAATAGAACTCGAGTTATTGAAAAAAAAATCGGAAAAATGTAAAAAAAATCTCCGAACTGGGCCGCCAAAAAAATCTGAAAAAATTTGAAAGACAGTTTTTCAACATCAAGATTCAAATTCAGATCTGCAAAATTGAAATGATGAAATAATTGTAAAATGTCTGCTCAAGAAAAAATAGACAGTGGATATCTTTAAAATTATTTAACAGGAATTATTTGATAGAGAAATGAATGAAGAAAACGCGCAAAAGAAATTTTTTGATCAGCAATTGTTCGATTATCTTGTTAACGAGTGATTTTAGGACGAAATATCCAAGAACATTTTTTGCACAAAATTTAATTCTCTACAAAAAAGTTCTTATGCCATTTTTACCAAAAATGAGTCCCTAATAAGATATCCACGAAATTATAAAAACAGCATTTCCGACTTGATTCGTTTCACAATTTTGCTTTTAAAATTTGTAGAAATTTGTTAAAAAAAATATCAAGTACCCTTCACTTACTATAATATACACATAAGGCACATTAAATCCGATGCTTGTGCAGAAGTTTGAGAAAACAAACAGCAGGAACACAGAATCCTTGAGTAACGAGAGTTGTAGCATTTGTTGAAAAGCACTCAGTGGTTTTGTGTGTTTGGAATTATTATTCTGTCCCTGTTTCTCGTCTATTCCATTGGGGAGGCTTGACAGCGATCCCCTGAGGGCGACGTGCAGGTCACGACATCCCAGAGATGCTCTGGAACACAATTTTTAAGCCGTTACGGGATTAATTTTTTGCTTCAACCCCGATTTTATGTTATAAAAATAAAAATATTGAATTTTTACCCTTGACTATTGTCATTATCTCGTTACGTAGTGGACTTACGACGAAACGTCATAAGATCTTTTTTGTTGTAAATTAAATTCTCTGAAAAAAATTCTTATGCTATTTTTTTCTAAATCCACTCATTATCGAGATAATTAACTAATTAATCACCAATAAAAAAAATCGAAATCTAATCCAAATTCTTTCTCAATCACGTAATTATCTCGTTAGCGAGTGGACTTACGATAAAATGTCATTCGACCTTTTTTGTTGAAAATTAATTTCTCTAAAAAAAATTATTATGCTATTTTCTTCTAAATCCACTCATTATCGAGATAATTAACTAATTAATCACCAACAAAAAAAATTGAAACCTAATCCAAATTCTTTCTTAATCACGTAATTATCTCGTGAAAGAGTGGACTTACGACAAAATGTCATTCGACCGTTTTTGTTGAAAATTAATTTCTCCTAAAAAAATTTTTATGACATTTTTTTCTATATCCACTCATTATGGAGACAATTAAGCAATTAACAAAAACCATTCTGTCCGACTTCACCTACTCCTCCACTAATTAATAATAATTATCATTATTTACGATCGTTTCCGGATGTTTTCGATGCTCCTCTGGTAGAGGATATCCTTCCGGTGCATGAGACCACTGCCAAAGTCCCTGGACCGATGAACGTGTCCAGTTTTGGAGATGAGGACTGGTTGGCTCAGTGCAATCCTCATTAGATTCGTCTCCTCGTTCCCAGGGACCAGGTGATATTTCGTGTGATTGACGTTTGTCACGCTATGGGGTCTGGCGAACCCGTTGGCTGACAGTCCATTCGTCTGAGGAACCTTCAGGGTCGCTGGCTCCTCAGGTTTCGTCAATTCCTGAAGGAATTTCAAGACATTTCGATCAACTCTTCAATTTAAAATGACGTTTTTCTTAGATTTTTTTTCAGGCTTTCACTTTTTTTAGTTGTAGAGGTCTTGAGGGGTTCTAGAGGACCCAGAAATACTTTTTCTATTGACTTGGTCGAGATTTTTATAATATGAACGGTAAAAAAAATACTTTTTCTATTGACTTGGTCGAGATTTTTATAATATGAACGGTAAAAAATGATGAAAGAAATTTTAGAGAATTTTGAGCATTTGACGAATGAGTTTAGCTAAAAAATCCATCTTTTGTAGGGAGTTAAATTCTCTCAACAAAAATGCTTCAATAGTGCCCTTATACCACTCATTAACGAGATAATTCTCTAATTGAAGGCCCGGGATTTTTTTCATCTTTCGTAATCCAAAATTGTCAATTGAGTGCATCATGTAGAAATTCCCAAAAATTATGATAGAATGATTAAAAAAATAGAAAAAATTCTGAACTTTTTCAAAGAGCGTTTATTCAATTTCTTGTTATTCAACTTATTTTGAATATAAATTAAAAATCCTCTTTGAAAAAATTAAGAATTTCTTCTACTTTTTTTAATTATTCATTCATAATTTTTCAAAATTTCTGCATGTTGCAGGACTCAATTGACAATTTCAGATGACAAAAGATGAAAAAAACATCGAGATAACGTTCGAAAGATAGTACACCCGGGCCTTAATGCAATAGTTGAATCTACAATTTTTATTGTTACCGTAACTATTATTTTTTTGACAATTCCCTTGTAGTTGCAATTACCATTGAAATTTCTCTGAGTGTAATAGGTCGATACAACCCAAAAAATCGAAAACATAAATTTCAACGATTACAATGGTTCCATTCGGAAGCACAAATTACCATCATAGGAATATCCATAATCTTTCGCACAGGCTCGAGGGGTCGGAACATGATCCCAAAGATAATGCAATTGAGCACGAGTGCAGATGCAATGAGCATAGCCCCCCTCCATCCGAATTCCCCAATGAGATATTCAATAAAGGGTGCAAAAACAAGAGTTCCCAGGCCAGATCCACAGACGGCTATTCCAGTGGCCAAAGAGCGAAGTTTCTCGAAGTAGCAGGTGACCGAGACTATCGCCGGGAGGTAAACAAGGCCAAATCCAAGACCTGGAACCAGAGAGCACGCAATCTCATCTGTTTTAATGGCAATTTTTTTCCATCAACTCGTTGGATGAGAGAAATTTCATTAATTGAGAGCTACTGGGGTGATTATTAAGGGGTAATTGAGGATTCTTACCTAGTAAATTGTCTTCCACTCGCTCAAGATTGCAATTGAGAAGTTTATAAATTTTTAGATATGTTTTTTTTTCATTTAAATTTGGGAGGAGTTTGATAATTGATAAGAATTAAGTAATAATTAATCACTCAATTAGTTTATTATTTTATTTACTTGTTTATTGGATTGTTTTATCAAATAATAGTTCAATTAATTTGGTAATTAATCAATCAATCAATTTAATCCGTGAAAGAGTAATTAATTAGCCGAGGAATAGTCACAGTGAATGGTTTTTGAATGAAGAAAATTTAATGAAATTAGTAACAATAAATTTAATAATTCAGACAGCACTTACCTGTTCCCAAGCCAATGGTGAAGTACAGGATAATTATGTTCTGGGCGAAGTAACTTATTAAGAGACAGATGCTGGCGAGAATTGCACCGACAATTGTCACCAGACGACATCCATATTTGTTGACAAAAATACTGGAAATTGGTCCTGAGAGAAACAGAAAAATTCTACTAAATCCAAATTTCAAATTTTAGCGTCAATTTCAGCTCGAGTCATTACGCAAATTCATTTATTTGGTAAAAAATCAATTAATTAATTTAATTATTAAAAAAACCATTTATTTATTTATTCATTTATGAAACAGTTAATTAATCAATTAAAGCCCGGGTGTACTATCTTTCGAAAGTTATTTCGATGTTTTTTTTCATCTTTCGTCATCTGAAATTTATTTATTTATTTATTTATTAGCGAACGGGCGCTTCGCGCCCGTCGCTGAATTAGATTATGTTGTATTATATTAATTTATTTTATTTTTTTCATTCCAATTTTTCTTTGCCGTTAGATTAAATTAAATTTATTGGATTCTATTCTCACTGTAGTATACAAATTGTGGGAACAGTTTTTCTCATTTTCAAATGAAGAGATATTTATGTTAAATATCTCTATATAATATATATATATCTATATATAATATCAGTATAATATAATAATTCCTCTCAATGAAATCAGATCATGAAAATGAAATTTTTCGTTTTCATGATCTGATTTCATTGAACGGAAATGAGAAAAATGCAGGGAGAGATGATCAGCAAGAAAATAAAAGAAAATTTTTTTTAATTTTTCTGAAAAATCAAAACTGATTTTTTTTTAATGACGAAAAAATATCAATATGATAACATTCGAAAGATAGTACATCCGGGCCTTAATTTTTTTAAAATGCTCAAAAAATGTCTTTTAACATTTGAATGATTCATCATTCAATTTTACTCATCAAATTTGTTGAATTGGTTTTATAAAAAAAAGGAAGTGATTAAATAAATGACAAATTAATTATTGAAATCAAGCCATCATATCGAGAAATGACGACTCAATCATCATCGAAGGATGCAGTATTGCCATCAAAATGTCATCTCCATTTTACCAGGAAATCAGAATGAAATGCCACTCACCAGAGCACAGAGTAATTCCAACGAGAATAGAGGCGATCCACGCTGTGGCGCCGTCTCCCGCTTGGAAATAATTGCGTAGCTCAACGTGAAATACACCGAATGAGTAGGTCACACCATCCGCTGTAATTCGAGATGTTGAGACATTAGAGAAACATTAAGTCATTGATCCATTCAAAATCATGAAAAATCAATTTCAACAATTATTAATCTGGTTTAAACAATTATTATTTTCTATTATAAAAAAAACACCTGTCGCCACCAGTACTCCATCGCCGCAATTAATGATTTATCAATTAAAAATACACGCCAATTATTTTTTTCATTTAAAAAAATGAAAAAAGAATAGAACTCATATTTTTTTATGTGATTTCACTTCATAATTTTTTTTTATATGAAATTTTTTCTTTACTATTCAAAATTAAATTAAATTTAAACAAATTTTCAATAAATAAAAGGGACAGAATAATAATTTCAAACAAAATCAAATTAATTATGGGGGTGAACTTTCATCATTAACTTATTTTAAATTATTAATTAATGATTTTTCAACTGCTTCCAAATATCTAATAAAACTCGTCAGGGCCAAATTAATTAATCTACAATAATCAACAAATATATCATCACAAGTAAATATTTCTATCTGGAGTAATTGTTAAATTATTTTTTATAATAAAACGAAAAAAATATTTCATTTGATTTTCAATCAATGAAAAATACTGAAAATCAAATATAATTTATTTCATAATTTTTCTTCTCAGTAAAATCATGTTTTAATCGAGAAAAAAATATGAAAAATTGATGAAGATTATCTATAGGGACTTGTGCCATTCAATTAATTTCTTTATTTACAATCTTCAGTTGAAATAACTCAGAATGGCCGAATGAGTAGGTGACACCAGCCGCTGTAATTCGAGACGCTGATACTAAAGAAAAACATTAGTTCATTGCTCCATTCATCAAATATCGATTATCTCTAATCTAAATAATTATTATTTCCTGGCATAAAAAAATAATAATATTTCTTTCACTTTACAATAATTTTTTAATCGAAAACAAATAATTAGAACGTAAAATTCATGATTTATATGAGCTTTTATCTAATCAATATTTTATTATGAATTTTAAAGAACATTTCGTTCTTTCTTCATTCATGAAAAATTACAAAAATACAACAAATTATTTTTTAATCATATTTTTCTTCTTGAAATAATTTTTTAATTGATAAAAAAATCAAATAATTAAAATTCATTATTGGCGTGAACTTTTATCATTAAATTAATAATTTGTTATTAAATAAGAGAAAAAAATCTAATTGGTTTTCAATAAATAAAAATACTAAAATAAAATTGAGTTGATTTGAAAATTTTTTAATCTTAAAAAAAAATGACGAACTAATGAAAATTATCTACAGACTTTTCTCATTCAATTAATTCTTACTTTAGAATCCTCAATTGAAATAACTCATAATGAGTTGAAATAGAATGAAACTAGTGACAATTCCCCCGAAATCCATTATCAAATAAACCCAAACAATCATGTCCCATTGATCTAATTTCACGCAGAAATTTCATTCTTTGTGTTACGACAATTGTTTAATGCCGTTCTTTGTGATAATTTCTTCGTAATGAGGGTATTATGGTGTTGCTCTTTGAGCGGAGCCGAGGGGTCACGCAACAAGTGTTGCGGAAGTGGGATTCATTATCAAGTGTTTAATATCATTTATTAGGCTCTTTGAATCATCTGGGGATTCACTGTAATCACAATAAAATATTTCGACACGATAATAATTGTGCTGTTATCCTAGGAGTTGATAATAAATTTGTATAAACAAGGGAAAAACCGAAAGATAATTTTGAAGGATCGAAAAAAAAAGAAATTAAAATGATAAACAAATTATCAATTATAATCAAAATTGAAATAAATTGAATTCATTATAATTAAAAATAATTGGAGATGATTTACTCCTGAATTATCATAATCGATTATAAATTCTTCACACGAGTTTTTATAAGTCATTATTTATCAATTATTTATCATAATTAAATTGATAAAATTGTTAATGCGTTTGTAATAATTAATAATAAATTCAAATAATTTTATTAACAATGAAATAAATATATGAGTTTATCAGGTAATTTCCAGTGAAAATATTGTTGACTAGGGGACTACATCACTTGCTTGCTCCGCTCACCAACCCTCACTTAACCCTCGTGACCCTTAATCTAACCCTCATTACACTTATTCTGACCCTCGTGATCTTTAATCTGAATCTCGTAACCCTTAATATGAAACTTGTGCCCCTTAATCTGTCCCCTGTGACCCTTAATCCGGCTCTCTTGACCTTCATTCTGACCCTTGTAATTGTTATTCCGACCCTCACGACCCTTATTCTGACCCTCATGACTCTTAATCTGACCCCTGTGACCCTTAATCCGGCCCTCGTGACCTTCATTCTGACCCTTGTGACTGTTATTCCGACCCTCACGACCCTTACTCTGACCCTCTTGACCCTTATGACTCTTAATCTGGCCCTAGTGACCTTGAATCTGATTCGTGACCCTTAATCTGACCCTCGTGACTCTCATTCTGACCCTCTTGACCCTTATTCAGACCCTCGTGACCCTTATTCTGACTCTTAGAATTTTATTTGATTAAAATTAATCAAAAAAATTATAATTGCTGTAAATGTTCGCTTGCCCTAAATTGGTAAGAAAATTCTGATAAATTCTCCAAGAAAACTGAATCACTCCGCAATTGGTTATTTTCCACAACAACAATAATCCCAATCCTATGAATTCAAGAACTTTTTTCAAACTTTTTTCTTTATGATTTTCCTGCAGTGACTCATGAATAATTCACTCATGACATTTTTATCCCATTCATTCATCAATTCCTGATAACCCAGTGGTTGTCTAGCCGTTTCCGTTAATAGTTTATTCTTTTTCGTTAAAATTTTTTTAATGAAAAAGTTAAATGTTTTTTCGGAATTTTTTCATTCCATTCGTTCATTTCGAGAGGTTTTGGGACGAAATCATTTACCAAAAAAATTTTAACGAGTTTATGGAACAAAATTATTTACAAAACAATTTAAACAAGTTTATAAACCTCGGAAGACATTCATAAAACAGAAATGAGTGATGAAAAATTAAGATTCAACGAATTCAAAGACTTTTTTCAAACTTGTTTCTCATGATTTTCCTGCAGTGACTCGTGAATAATTCACTCATGATATTTTTATCCCATGCATTCTTCAATTCCTGATAACCCAGTGGGTGTCTAGCCGTTTCCGTTAATAGTTTACACTCTTTGTCGTCAAAATTTTTTTAATGAAAAAGTTAAATGTTTTTTCGGAATTTTTTCATTCCATTTGTTCATTTCGAGAGGTTTTGGGACGAAATCATTTACCAAAAAAATTTTAACGAGTTTATGGAACAAAGTTATTTACAAAAAAATTTAAACAAGTTTATAAACCTCGGAAGACATTCATAAAACAGAAATGAGTGATGAAAAATTAAAATTCAACGAATTCAAAGACTTTTTTCAAACTTGTTTCTCATGATTTTCCTGCAGTGACTCGTGAATAATTCACTCATGACATTTTTATCCCATTCATTCATCAATTCCTGATAACCTAGTGGTTGTATAGCCGTTTCCGTTAATAGTTTACACTCTTTTTCGTCAAAATTTTTTTAATGAAAAAGTTAAATGTTTTGTCGGAATTTTTTCATTCCATTCGTTCATTTCCAGAGGCTTTGTAACGAAATTATTTACCAAAAAAATTTTAACGAGTATGGAACAAAATTATTTACTAAAAAATTTAAACAAGTTTATAAACCTCGGAAAACATTCACAAAACAGTAATGAGTGATGAAAAATTAGGATTCAACGAATTCAAAGACTGTTTTCAAACTTTTTTCTCATGATTTTCCTGCAGTGACTCGTGAATAATTCACTCAAGGCATTTTTATCCCATTCATTCATCAATTCCTGATAAGCCAGTGGTTATCTAGTCGTTTAGGTAAATAATCTTGGAAATATTCCCATGGATAATCTCATTTTCCCCTTTTCAATGGCTCCATGGAGATATTGACTCGCGTCGATAAGGGATTCTTTATCAATTTTTGTTCGCGCTTTCCGGCTCTGTTGAGGACTCGTGTATTCGGTTAGCGTGAGGGTGCGGACATGTGACGAAACCTTCACGGAAATTCCAGTGGAATTTTAATCATTAAGAAGCCGTCTTTTTTGTTAATAGTTTCTTAATGAAAAATTTCAATGCCTTTGGGGAATTTTTTAATTCCATCATTTATCAAAAACATTTTAACGAGTTTATATTTAAGGCCCGGGGGTATACTACCTTTCGAATGTTATCTGGACTTTTTATCTTTCGTAATCTAAAATTGTCAATTGAGTGGTACATCATGTAGAAATTCCCAAAAATTATGATAGAATGATTAAAAAAATAGAAAAAATTCCGAACTTTGTCAAAGAGCGTTTTTAATTGAGATTCAGAATGAGGTGAAAAACGTGAAAATTACAAATATCTGATTCGCTGTGGCAAATTATCTATTAGCTGTCATTTTCCATGGTGGATAACAAAACACTAATTCCTCATGGGAAGTGACAGCTAGGTATCTCAATTTTCAAAACACTGGTATGTAGTCATCTGCCATTTTTATGTGATAAAAGTGTGATTAAAAAATTCTCCAAAATATTACAACTTTTTTCAAAGAGCCTTTTCCGTAATAAATGTCTCTGTGCAGTGTGGGAAAAGATTTACGAAATCAGTCTTCCCCCTGCATGATATTGGGTGACAGGCCGCCATTTGTCACCGTAAATCAGATACATTTTTCAATTTTTTGTTATTCAACTTATTCTGAATATAAATT